TAACTCGATCAAATATAAGTTATTTTCAGTACTTGACCATTATTGGTGCGGTCAACTTATTTACTCGCACCTTTTAAAATCTAAATAAAGATAGTTCAACACAGACTCTTCTTATTTTTGAATCGTATATATTTGTATAGGTAGAGATGATAGATATTGTGACAGATTTAAGAAGTATTTAAGCGGATAAAGTATAAAGCGGAGTTTTCCGATTCAAAGAGGCCCGGAGACGTAATTTCATGTGACCCTCCATTCATTAGAAGGTGCACCCGTATGTACGTTTCACAATGGTGCCTTTTAATTGTCTGATCAAAGATGAATAATATACTTTATTTTTAACTGCATGGGTTCACTATAAAAATGAAAAGAAGGAAATTGTGGGCATTGAACATGTATCAAGATACAGATGTAAAAGGGTACCATTGTTAATCGGAGTATACAAGGATAACTATGTATATCCAGGTGGAAAGTATACAATGGGCATTGAACATGTATCAAGATACAGATGTAAAAGGGTACCATTGTTAATCGGACAATCCACTTTCAAATTGAGAATCATGTCCATATTATTCTGAATCATTGCTTTTTTTGTGTCTATGTCTTTCTGAATTAACAGTTCGATAATTGTCCTTTAGCACGACTTTTGATCTTTTCTTTAAGATTAAAGATTCTGGAACTATGTGATTTAATTCAAAATGTGATTGAATTAAAATTGGTTCAGGGGGTAAAGGTTTTAATTTCAAAGTAACTTCCATTTAAAAAGTGTGGCATGCCTGAATCTCAAGAACAACCTACCTTTAATCCTTTATCTGATCAATAATATAAAAAAATAGCGTCGTTTTTCCAGCTTAAAAAGTTTTTGATCACAATATCTTCAATTGATTCAGAAGCAAAAATTCTTAAGTTATACTCTATAGAGAAACCATGGTAAAGACAATTCATTTTTCAAGGAGAAGATGATTTTGCATATCCTATGCATTCTTGATTAAACAAAGCTTTAAAGGAAACCGTTTTAATGACGTCGATTTCATGCAGTCCCTTTAAAATAGACTTTTTTTGTCCAGCTTTGATTCACACTTCACTAGACTGAAGGAGAAGGTTGTAATCTTACGCATCAAAGAATGAGAAGATCAAATCCTTTGGTTACTTGCATGAAATTAAAAACATGTTTGGTCTCCTCAATAGCTGTTCTTTTAGAGTTTTGATTGAAAATATGTTAGATCTTAATCTGCCCTGAAATGTTCTTTAGTATAAGACGTGGTCTGTGTCTGTTATGTTTGTATTTACGTTATATGTTCCTGTGAAGTGTGTTCGTGAATACTTAGATTTAACAGCTTGGGATTAAAGGGTTTAAATGGTCCCGGATTAAAGGGCTTAAAGGGTTAAACAAGAATATAAACAAGAAGCCGTACAACACTTCAATATTATGCAAATTGATAATATTTATATTTATCAATTATTTAAACTTCTCAGTTTAAAAAAAATTACATTGATTTTAATTTTGTAAACACTTCTCCATTATCCGGCAAAATAAAAATATAAGTTTTCGGTTGGAAATAATGCACTGATTTTTTTTGTTTTTAAAGCGCAGAGGAATATAATTCGAAAAATTATCCGGTTTTTTTTTGTTTGTTTTTTAACCAAACTTTGTCTCATATGCTGGGTGTTATGGGCGTATATTTTCTCTAAAATCATTCCCTCCCCAAAAAATATACACCCTTGCTGGGTTTAAACACTGTTTTAGGACACCTTACATTATAAACCAAGCATGGCTGTGTTACACTGTAGAGCAAGATATATTGTTTACTGGAAACTGTATGAAACATAATCGGATTAAGGTTTTGTTAATGTTAGGTTAACACGGTATAGCATTCTCCTTCTCTAACAAGCTATATATATATTCTTAAACAAGTTCAGAACATTTTCTAATGTTTATTACGATAGGTTATTGCTGAACACGGTTAATGTTTGACAGTTATATGTATATATTTATTACTGCATTATTCTTCTTACACACTACATATTACGTCTCCAAGTATGAATGCCAACCTTCTCAAGTTTTCTATACAGAGTATACTCTCAGCAAGGAATTCAATAATAAAATTTTAGAATCTATCATTATGTTAACTTGGGTACAAAAAATCCCCTAAATGGTTTTATTGCATAGGCAATTGTTTACAGGGGAAAAGATAATTAAGTTTGTATTTATGGCCGCCGTTGTGGCTGTTTTGAATAAAAAGCCCTACTAAATATTTCGTAATTTGCAAATTAAAAAAAATTGTATTTTTTTCAAGGGACTGTAGACGTAATTTTAAAAGTATCGCCATTTGTAGAGATGCATAATCTATTCACAAAGGTACACCAAAAAGCTTTGTCTGGTCAAAAATGATTAAGATATCCATTGCTTATCTTTAACAAAATTGAGTTTCTCTGTTTGTTGAGTTTCTTTCTAGCACTCCAGTATGCCGAGTCCATTAGCGCCTGATCCAATCAGGGTTCAGTCATGTGTTTGAATTTTGATGTCTATTCTGAACCAATAGAAATAGTTTGGCGGTATCATCTATCTTTCTATCTAGCTCATTCCAATTAGAGATAAATCCTTTAATCGGCGATATAACAGTAGATGGAAATATTTACTTCTACTCAAACTATAGTGTTCTGATTTCTTTTTAAAACAGAATCAATGAAGGACATTGTAAAATCAATCAGAAATGTATCATAAAAAGATTTAAAGGAAACCCTCTTTAAATGCAGGGTCTTTAAGTCGAATTATCTGCAAAGTAAAATGCCCATTCAGAACAAAATTTGCAGTGTAAGATGCAATTGAAAAAAAATAACTAAAAGTTAAATCAAACGAAATTAAGCCTTTGCACAAACTCTGATTTTCTAATCTCTATATCTCTTCAACCCAATGTCGTTTCATTTGACATTTCAAACTATTAATTCTATTAATAATTAAAGTTTGAAAGTTATAAGGATTAGGAAATTTGAGTTTGTGACAACGATTTAATTCCTTTTCAAAACTTACATGATCTTTAATTAAAATATTGAGAAAGAAAATTGAAAAAGAACATGCTAAATTGAAATGAATTATTGGATTGTCAGGGAGGCTGTGAAGAGGCTGGAGGTTGCTGATGATCACGAGGATATAGAGGATCGAGATCAAGAGAACGAACTGAGGATTGCCAGACCTCTAGTCACAAATTGGTGAGTTTTCTCTTCTCCTGCAAGGAGGAGGGGTGGGGGCTATTACCCCCTCCTTCTTCTTTCAATTTTGTTAAATACTCATAACACTTGTAAGGTAAGAAGTGGTCTTCTTGGATTCTTACTTGCTCTTGCATCAGGATTTTGCCAAATTTATTCTTTTTAAGCTGAAGCTAGAAACAAGCTCGTTACAGTTTAATGTTGCATATTCATGGTCACACAAATGTTTAAGTGAAACGGTAAAAACCAAGGCCCGAGCGCTGACACTTATGTCATTAAGCACCTAATCACGGCAGTTATATATGTAGGCCGTAGGGTCGTCAAATTTTCGAAAAATCATGAAAGGTGTTGAGTTTTTGCCACAAACTCAAATCTTCTGTTCCCAATATCTTTGCAATCTGATGGTGCAAACCTTTGATATTTCAAACTTAGATTATTTTATCTATAAGTATTAATAGTTTGAAATATCTAAGGTCTACGACATTGGGTTACAAAGATATAAGGATTAGAAAATCAGAGTTTGTGGCAAAAACTCAATCATCCGCCGACAAAATAAGTTTTTAAAAGGCAAACAAATGATGCTTAGCAGTCATAATTGAGTTTGAAATTTACACCTTATCCTGGGACAAGGACTCAACTGGCTTTGATTTATTCTTAATTGTTACGAGACGTACATATAGCCGTCATGCATAATTTTTCTATGTTGGCTTCTGCCGGAAACGAAGGATTTTGAAACCGGAAATGACGGATTGACCATCTTTAATACTTATATCCGGTTCCAAATAAATTGTTAGTTTATTGTTTTATTAATATTCTACAGAAATAATCGCAGATATAGTGTCAGTCATAAAATACATGGCATAGGAAGATAAATCTGTATTAAAAATGAACGATCGTGAACGTAATTTAATTTGCCCCACGTCCATTGATAAATGACATGTCAGAATCACAACGGTACCCTTAGAAGCGTTCTCTGATCAACTATTAATTAGATAATAATGTCTTTGTTTTTGGATAACTGTTTCTTTTTATTTTATCTCTGGAAAAGAAATTTGCGCATTTCTTGCTACCAAAACAATGTCGAAATCAGTAAACCCACGGAAATGTTCTTAGTTTGGGATAAAACAAATTCTAAGATGAGATGACTGACTTATATTCCAGACAAAACTAAGGTTCCAGTGTTTTAGACAAAGCTAGTTTTGTATAAAAAAAATTTATTTTGTTTAATGTTAAATATTTTCTATATTTTCAGAATATATGAATTGTAGGTCTGTATTTTTAACTATTATCTTTCTCTTAATACGGAAATGATGTATAATATTACATATTTACCCTCCCCTCCCCGTTCTAGTCCTCACCCCTCTCTAGCCCACCCCTTCTTCTCCCCCCTTGTACATTTCATTCAAAAAGGAGTTGGTGTCTTAATCTATTTTCAGTTACAAAATTGGAAAACATTTTTTTATTTAATTTAAATTAATATAGTTTCCTATATGAAAAGTTTAGGAAGTGAACACTTGCCACTTATTCTAAAATGTTTTACCCCAGTATCTTTGCAACCTGATAAGCTAAACCTTTAGTTTATATATCTCTGACTATATGAATCTATTCGAACTAATTTCTAAAATCTATGACATTATGCTGCGAAGATTTAAAGAATATAAAATTTGAGTTTGTGAGGGAATGTTGAGTCTCTTTCTATAGCTTAAATATATATAATACTTAACTTGTCTGGGTGTCTGTCTGTTTGTTTGTTATAGTATCCAATAAACGTAAAACGGATGAACCGATTGAGCCATAAATTTTAGATGCAACTCACTTATCCCTAGGGAAGGTTTATCAATGGTCGAAATTAAAAAGTTGTGTCCGGAAAAATGTCGAAATTAGTAATTTGTGAAAAATTTTAAAACTCAGAGACTAAAAACGTTTTTTTAAAAAATGTGTTTGATAATTCAGTAGTGATATTTTTAGGATTTTTGAATAGTTGAAATTCAAATTATAATTTTTTACAGGAACGGTACACCGTATTCTCCTTATGGAAACTTGTTTGATAGTCGACCCTTCCTACTTTCTAGTTTATACAGTAGTCTTCATCCTTCTATACCTCATCAAGACAGGTATACAGTAGTCTGCATCCTAGTATACCTCATCAAGACAGGTATACAGTAGTCTGCATCCTACTATACCTCATCAAGACAGGTATACAGTAGTCTGCATCCTAGTATACCTCATCAAGACAGGTATACAGTAGTCTGCATCCTACTATACCTCATCAAGACAGGTATACATTAGTCTGCATCCTACTATACCTCATCAAGACAGGTATACAGTAGTCTGCATCCTACTATACCTCATCAAGACAGGTATACAGTAGTCTGCATCCTTCTATACCTCAACACAAGGCAGGTATACAGTAGTCTGCATCCTACTATACCTCATCAAGACAGGTATACAGTAGTCTGCATCCTACTATACCTCATCAAGACAGGTATACAGTAGTCTGCATCCTTCTATACCTCAACACAAGGCAGGTATACAGTAGTCTGCATCCTTCTATACCTCAACACAAGGCAGGTATACAGGTATACCTCATTCTTTAAAACCTTAGCAAGACGAGGGGGGGGGGAAGCAGGCTGTTGTAAGCCACAACATTTTCCCCTTCCATGCCACATATTATCTTTTTTGTCTTCCGGCAGCCATAAGGCACAACCGTACTGTCTTCCATGCCACAGAATTTGAGTATTCCGGCAGTTATTACGTTTTTCTATGATAAATTTATAGCATTTAAATTGTATTTTTTAAAAATCCTGCCGCATTACGTCAAAGTTTATTAAAGATCAATGAATTGTGTCTTTAGTTTATAAACTGCTTTACATTATGCAAAGAAAATTTTACATCATTTTACACATTGTAGGCACCGAGGCAAATGTTTTGGGTAGTCCAAAGAGTAAGATAAGATGATAAAAATGACAGTGTTAACTGTCATTATCTGAGCGATACAGATTTCCTCAAAAAAAGTTCTATTTTACAATTTTCTCGGTAAATTGCGCAAATTTTCGGTTATGGGCGCGCTTTTAGAGTATGTTATGGTGCATAATTCTTATTGTTCATAATGTTTTCAAAAATAAGACATTTTAGAGGAAAAATGGAATTTTTTTTTTTTTGGGGGGGGGAAGAAAGTTTAGCAGTTTACATTAAAAGGAATTAATTCAAATCTTAAATATAAAGTTTTTTATATATATATATTTTGCATGACGTCGCTGGATTTTTGAAAATCAAAACTTCAATGTACTAAATTTAGTATTTACAAACATAATAACTTCCGGAATACTCAAATGCAGTGGCATCGAAGACCATACGGTTGTTGCTCATGGCTGCCGGAAGACAAAAAAGCTATACTATGTGGCATGAAAGGGAAAATGTTGTGGCTTATGGCTGCCTGCCTTTCTCCCCTTGCAAAACAGATAAAAATATAATTAAGTAGTCATCATCTTTCTAGATCTTGTTTTTTTTAAGAAATCGGTTTGATCACAATTTTGGTAGAAACCGGTTCGATCTTGTTATTGTTTGGAAACCTATTTGATCTTGATGTTGTTAAAAAACCAACTTGATCTTGTTATTGTTTAGAAACCTGTTTTATCTTGTTATTGTTTTAAAAATGATTTAATCTTGTTATTGTTTAGAAACCGGTTGGATCTTCCGTTAGTTCAGAGAATTGTTGGATTAGGAGGAGTGCATTCTTTACAATCTCCAAGACCTGCCTATATGGGCGGGCTTCCCCGCCCCCTCCCTTCTTTACATCAGGTATAGCTCTACCATTGCATTTATATTAAAAGAGGTTGTTAACGTACAATTTCAAGTAACCCTTCATTCAAAGAGTTACATTTCTGATTTACATCAGTACCATTTAGTACTGGCTTTACCTGGAAAACTCGTGCAGACTGTAAAACAGGTTTTTTTTTTATTAAGAGATCGAATCTAAAAATATCCTTCCTTTTCTTTGCTGCATAAATTAATATAACTAATTCTAACATGACAATAGGTATGTTTCCATCAATTTTCTTCGAACAAAATTTAAAGGTGACGTTAGGTACTTTACCAAAGGCAATTTAAACTAGGACAGGCTAGGGGGCTGATCGCTGCGGCTACTGTAGGGCTGGGCGTGGTTCCTGGGGAACAATCGTACTTTCACAAGAGCGAACGTAACGATCAAAAACGATCCCATCGTTCCGAAAAAAGAACGAACGCATAGAACGCGTTCTTAAAAATGTCGGAACGATTTTTAAAGGAACAGAATGGAACGGGAATTTTTGAAAAGAACGTTTAGAATCAGGTAGGCGTTCTAAGTCGAGAACGCATTTTAAATCAGGAATGAGTTCTAAATCATCCAGAAATAATTGAAAGATTTTTTATTTGATCACCTGAACCCACCCCCTCGGCACTCACCCCTCCTCCCACTCTTAACCCGCCCCCCCCCCCCCTTCCCAGGCCTCTGCTAAACTGACAACAGACTACAGAGCAGGTTTCAGTTTAACTTCTGTATATCGTACATATTAAGGATTTTAGGACTTTAAAATATATATTTAAAATATATAATTTAAAGTATATTTACGGCCATGAGAAACAGAACGGAACAAGAATGGAATGATTGAAAGTAAAGGAACGAGAACAGCTAACAATCTAGCTGAAGGCCCTTGTTCTAGAACGGGATGGAACGATATAAAAAAAGTCGAGACCTGCCCAGTCCTAGCGGCTAGGACATACTTGGAAAGTTACCGCTTGGGAAATTGCACATTTTGGGAAGTTTCCACTTTGGGAAACACTCTGGTGAAGTTGCCGCTTGGGGAAAAACCTTTGGGAAAGTACCTAACATCGATCTTGTTTTATTATTATTTATTTAAAGAATATGGAAAGAAAAGATAAGATGTCTGATCGATGTTGATGATGATGTAAAGTAAAGTAAAAAATTATTTATTTATGAAATATAATAAAAACATACAAAAAAATGTGTTTCAGGAGAAAATATTTAAAAACCTCTAAAAGTAGAGGTTGTGGGAATATTTCCCCCCAATTCTAAAAAATATAAAAATATAAATAATAGGAAAAGGAAAGGAAAGGATAAGGAAAGTTACATATTTATTGTTTACACTATATTTTACATAAAAATTAGTGGTGGATTGTTAGTATTTTTCGACGATGAAGAAGGAGTTGATTATGATCGTCTTATTTATTTAAAGGAAAAGGACCGAAAGGAGGATATGTCTGATGATGATGATGATAAAGGAGATGATGATGAGAGGAGAAGGAAAAAGAAAACTAGAACAGTATTCTCCAGAAGTCAAGTAAGGAATATATGTTTTACATACTGATGAAGCCAGAGCCTTTTCCACAGTGATCGTAACTCCTGAGTTAGTTCCTAAGATTGTGCTAATCTAAAATACAGAGAGCAAACTTTTAATTTAAATTTTTAAATGCTTATTCTATGAAATTCTTCTCATCAGAATTCGTCTACTGTCAAGCGATCTGTTCAGCCATTTTGACATTTATTGGGGTTAAATCAGATTTGTTAAGGTTTTCCAGCTGGAGTCCACCTTTGATATTAAACGATATCTGTCAAGTTCTGAGAGAGCTAGTCTTGCTTCCTCTCTTCATCTTACTGAAACTCAGGTACTGACACACTGTTAGCCCTCCAGAGATAACAATAGCCCTGTAAAATAGTAGTATAAAATGACATAATTGTTAGATCAATAAGCTTTTTTCTACAGCACAACATGCTGTGTTTTATAAACACATGACTCAGCCGCTTTTTCATTAAGTTGGCCGGCAATTTGCAGATTGATAAATTATAAAAGCCCTAGTCTCTTCTGATTGGCCGGATCTGCAAGGCACAATTGATATGACGCCGTGGGCGTATTTTTTATTGAACTGAAAACTTAAAAAGTTCTAATACCTACAGCTTTACTTTTAAACCGTGTATTCAATGCTTGCCTCTCTTTGAAATGACGTATCTTACACTTTATTGTGGAGATTGTAATGTGAATAATGAATATTGTCAATAAAGCGATGTTGATAACAAGAAGATTATGTTTAGGTTAAAATCTGGTTCCAAAACCGTAGAAACAAATGGAAAAGGCAACTTGCTGCTGATATGGAGGTAATGAAATTTTAAAATATTATTTCAATATAGTTGTTTTACAAAAGACAAACATGCGGGTTAGAATTGTCACTTGTCGGGTCCTCGATCCTCATGTTGGACAACGTTTTTTAGGTGTGCCAATTTGTTCTCTTTTGATTAGCTGGGTCATGATTTTACTGTTAATTTGATCATGTTGGAATGCACGGGTGGGCGATTTATAATTTGAGACCTAAAGACGTTTATATCAATAAAATTCTGAAAACTGTTGCATTCAGTTTTTTTATTCAGGAGAGAAAAATAAACTAAGATAATCTAAGTAAAAAAGCTTACTTGAAAGCAAAGCTAAAATAGAATGTCCTCTGTATTGTAATGATATAAACGAAAAATATTTCAGGCAGCCAACCTTGCCGGAGCAAGTAGAAGCCTCCCTCCTCACCCGGTTCCTCTCTTCTTGCAATCCCATCATATTAAACAGATTGGTAAGTTTACATTTTTACACGTTATAAAATTGTACAGCGCTAAAGTAATACCCACACAACTGTGGAATAAGAAAACGACTTTTAGACCCAAACTTGAATTTGAAATAGTCCAATAAACGTGCAACAAAATCACAGAACCATTAAATAAGTTTATTTCAAAGCACAGTTAAATTATTTGTTTGAGAACAGTATCAAATACACATTAGAATACTTAAATATCGTCTTCCTGTAACATAGTTTCAGTGAAGTATTCAGAGACTCAGAGTGCACTTACGGCTTATAACCTGAAAATTAAGATACAACATAGTTGATCTTTAATAGTTGTAAGTAACGTTCAACTTTTTTTTTTATATCTTTGAAAATACATCGAACACATTATTTCAAAACTTAGATTAACAAAAAAATCACTCTAACCATTTAATTAGGTTCCAATTAGGGCCAGATTGTTCAATCATTTAGAAAATCAGATACCAGATGTTAGGGAACCATCCCTTTAACATAATTTTTATTTAGGAAGTTCAGATTCTGGATTCCTCCGATCCTCTTCTCCCTCCTCCATCAGCTCCCTTCCTCACCTTCCCTCACACCCATCCCTGACCCCCTCGCAGGCAGCTTCCCTCGTATTCCCTCCCTCAAGCCACTCTATTTCTACCTCAATGCAAGGTATGAAATAAAATAGAAGACATTTTGACCCACTAAAGATTAGACTTCAGAGATGATTTTACCTACATAGAATTCACATTATTAAAAATACATTACGATACTATAAGACAGAAGACTTAGTTTAACCCGAAAATTAACCTTAAGATTTTTAGGTCGTCTTTGAAATGTCGTCCTTTTTGGGTGATTCTACAAATTGTGTCGAAATGAAGTTGATTTCTATAAGAATTGTTGTTATTCAAATCTGTAAACAATCATCGAGTTTTGTGGAACACACATTTTAAAACCGATCCATAAATTTAATAGAGGTTTGCTTACAATAACGACTTTCAAGAACTGGATTAAAAAGACGACATTTATAATTTTCTTGTTTAGGTGGGTCTCTGCATTTTGTTTGAATTAACAGGATCGAAGAAGTGTCGACAATTTAAATTCAAGAAACTTCAAGAAAACTGAAACTAAAAATTAAACAAATCTTTTAGATTTTTTTGTTTCTGAAATAAACACCAAAACAGTCAACTTGAAAATACTTTGCTTATATCCTCAAAAAGAGATAACCTAAATCAAACTGATGGATTGTCGACTGCGCTCTCTCTAAAAATAGCTAGTCAAAAATTAAAAAATAAAAATCCTTGGCAGCCTTTTGAATTGAAAGAAAATGCAACAATTATGTGCTGTTTTTTGGTTATCACTGTACTAACATTATCTATAAAAATAATTAGGATTGATACTGAATCAATAATTGTTACAAATTATGTAATTGACGAGAGATTTTACAAAAAAATTAAAGAGCTTAAAGTTTTTAAAGCTTTGAAAAAATAGTTCCTTAACTTTTATATTTCCTTTTTTCATACCTTTAAAAGTTTATTTAATTTTCTCAAAACATTCCAACAAACTGCAAAATTTTCTCAACTACATGTTTGAAAAAATTAAAAATTTTATGTGAAGGGAAAAGGATAAATTGTCCTACTAAAAAATAGCTAAATCTATAACCCCTTTTTGCGTAATGTGCAAGTACGTTCATATTAGCTAAATTTCAGAAGCTCAAATTTTTCAAATTGTTTAGGTTTTAATTAAAAAATTATTTTCACAGTGTGTTTAAGACAATTTAATCAGCATTAGAAAACAATTGAGTTAAAAGGACTGCACTCGTCATTTCAAAGGACCCTCTGTGCATTTTTTTAGGTTTAAAAGTGTTTAATTCTGATAATTTCTTAATGTTTTCCACCTTTTGTATTGTGCAATTTTATTTTTGAAGAGAAACGAACATTCAAAAGGATCAGTTTTCAAAATTATAAACAATGAAATCTAATTTTGCTTTTCTTGGTATCGTTGAGTATCGGACATTACCATCTTGGCATGGAGGGTCAGTTTAAATAACGCTAACAGTCAGTTTAAGAACCGACTCTGTTTTATATTTTTGCCCTGTTGATATAACTATCTTATGAACACAAATTTTTAAAAAGTTGAAAAGTGAATGTGTGATTTATAGATCAAATCCCTTTTTTAATTTTAAAAAGTTATAACCTAGAGATTATTTATATGATTTATACCTTTATCATAGATCGATGAAAATTATGTATGAAATGAAATTTGTGTAAAATTTTCGTTAATTTAAAAAATGTTTCCTTAAATATATGAATTAACTCTTTAAACATCTTGTTCTACCTTAAAATCTTCAATAATTTCTATGTATATGTGAGTGAGTCAGTCAGTAAGGTACTGTACTGAGGAGAGAGAGAAAGATACATATTGACCTCAGTACTAGTGTGTATACCCAGGAAGAAGCTGTAGCTGTGTCGGCCAACTTCTAGTTCCAGGTTTAGCATCCTTACACTTAACATTCATTCTAATACAGGTAGACCCATAAAACTGTAAAATAGAAGGACTACTACTACATTTAAATTTTGATTTAAAATAGTAAAATGAGCGCTGTGTAAAAAGACCAAAATAAAAACATCCATGTCTTTCTTTTCTTCAGCTTTATGGGTCTCAATGCGTATCAACATAAACATAAAAAGAGGATTAAAAGTCGTCTTTGGTGAATCTTATAGTAGAACGTAAAAATGTTGGAATTTGTAACAATTTAAACTGATATGTCTCCGAAACTGCTTAGTGCACATTTACAAAGGTATAACAGAAACTAATAAAAAATGTTACTTTAAAAAATTTTAAACGACCACTTTTTACTCTTTATACAAGTTCATTAAAAAAAATTTGAATGAAAAATAGTCTTGCCATTTCCAAAATATGGTCTGCCATTTTTTGCTTTAAAAAATACCATGAAGAATTTTGCTTAAATTTTAATTTTTAAATGAAACTACGAAAATGACAAACTCTGAACGAAATCATTCACATCTCCGGTAATCAGCAAAAAAGGTACAGTGAAACCCTTAATAACGAATACATCGAAAGAATTCATCAAATGTCGTATTCTTCACTTTCTGATAATGGAATGTTGCAGATATTTAGTTTTTTAATTAAATGATTATATGGAACTCTTTAAAACTGTTCCCGCATATTCATAGCTTTTTATTTATTTTCGCAAATACTGAAATTTGCGAAATATAGTATAAAACTCATTGAAAAATTGTCAAGACGACATTTGATAAATTCTTCCGATGTATTCGTTATTAAGGGTTTCACTGTAGCAGACCACATCTTGAAAATGGCAGAGCTAGGGCTATTTTGTGATTATTGTTTCAAAGACAACTTTGTGGTCTTCAATCAATCAAAATTTTCTATTTTATTTAGAATAGAACTGTATTATACTTAAATTATCGTAGATTTTACATTAAAAGTCGAGCTCCCACTTTTTAAAGCTAAACATTAAGTTTTGTTGTAGACATTGTTTGTATCACTTTCAGAAACTTCTTATCATAGAGAAAAGAATATATATTAGAGGGGAATTTAAAGAATCTCTCGGTATGAATTTTTTCAGTCCCTTTCAGCCTGAAAGGGAGTTCAAAGTGTACAAATCATGTAAATGGTGAAAATTATATGCAGTAGAGTACATTAACACAGTATGTTCCCTAGACTATTCATTTCAATTTCGAATTAGGTGAATAAAAAACATCATTTGATTTATAGTTATAACAGAAAATCATCGTTTTAAAGTGAAAGGCATAGAGTCTATGTGAAATGATCATTGGTCAATTATGAAACTAGCCTATTTCATTATTTGGTTTTCTTTTAATATTAATTTTCGATTTTCTATAAAATGATATTCTTGGGCCCAAAAGGTTATATTGCATACATATGTGAAGTACACCTGCAGTATGTAAACAGTACAACAAAATGGCCGTTTTTCACTTTTTTCTAGTAAATTCCCCTCTAATATATATTCTATTCTCTATGCTTCTTATTCTCATAATTTGGAGTAAAATTGGGTATGTTTCTTCGGTCCCACAGTACTTCCGTCCTACAAACTTCGGACTTACGACACTTCGCACCTACCTCAATATCGGACCTACGACTGCTGTAGGTCGGATGTTCATTCTATTTTGATAATCCGACCTACGCAGTAACTGAAGTCCTTGTCAGTATGTGGTTGACAATGCTAATAAGGATCTCTAGTCGTTCCCGTTGCATACAAATTTGTAAAATTGTAGGTAGGATGCACATACTTTTGTAGGTAGGATGCACATACTTTTGTAGGTAGGATGCACATACTTTTGTAGGTCGAATGCACACTTTTTGTGTGTGTGCATCCAACCTACGGTTAAGTGGGCAACCGACATACAGTAGGTCGGATACACTAACTTTTTTCAATTGAGTGTGTATCCGACATACAGGTCATCAGACCAACAGTAGCTAGAAGCTGCTGAAAAACCACGTGCGGGTAGGTCCGAAATATCGCAGGACGGATGCAACGTTGGGCGGATGTAATACAATCTTACATTGTCCTAAAATAGAATTAAGCATTGCCAAGTTTGAAAACAGATACGGATGCAATGAATGCATTAATGTTTGCACACATGTCTACAATACATACTGCACCCAGAGGTCATAACTTTGTGTTAGAAATACCTCGATAAATCAAGCATATCCGTATCGTCCGAACGGTTAATATTATTCCTCCAGACGAACTACTATGGCTCAAAGTGTCAAAAAACGGAAACAATTAATTGCTGCTTAGATGCTTACAAAATAAATTTTAGAAATAACTCTTATGGTACAAATAATAAAGTACTAATCAGCATGCATTGTGTTCTTCATGCAGCATGCATGTGGGATCCATCACATGCTGTTTGCATCTTCATGATAACCGTTAAATTTTTGAAAAATATTAACCGAAATATAGATTTGTATTTTCTGGTTCAATGAAACGAATTTAAGGCTAAAGTTGAGGCTTCTGCAACCCGGTATAAGATATTCTTATAGATGCACATTTGAATCAATAAAGTTATCAATACAATGGGTCAACTTCGGGCATCTGAAATCTTTCATAAAGTTTCAGCACAAAAATTTTCCCAGAAAGTAAAAATAATTTTTTTTGAGTATACTTTTTCCTAAAACCTTGCAACTTTTTTCGTATTGTGTCAGCCCCATAAAATTTTTTCAACTTTCAGAGAAGAATTTCATTAAAAAATCATGAATTAGCTAGGGTGAAAAATTTTTTTAACTTTAAAATCAAATTTATTTTCCCCAGAATTTATGTTATGAATTGTAGTGAAAAAAAAACTTCTGAAAATTCGTTTTTTTCTGTTCTTTAAATCTTTTTAAGTCAAAGTGAAACGAACACATCCCATGGTCGAAACCTATGTATCGGTTTAAAAATGTGTGTTTATACAACTTGCTTTTCTTTTAACCATTGTTTTCAGTTTCTTTAAAATTGTTCATTTTTGATTGAAAGATGAATAATTAATTAATTCTCACTTTGAATTAATGATACAAAAGTTGATATATATTTCCCACCAGGCTTACGCTTTAAAAGAACTAAAGATTCTTATAACTTTGCAGCATGACGTCCAAGAGTTTTGATATTTCAAACTTGTATTAGTTGATCTACTATTATTTTTAGTTTGAATTTTGTAAAGTTATTCATCAAGTGGTCTTTAGATATACGGGCTACACAATTTGTATCCCATATATATAGCCCATGTAGTGTGTCTTTGTATTTGTTAACCCTAAGGGATTAAATTTTCTCCGGCCCCACTCTGTATGTACGTATACATGTCAAAAAGTAATAAATCCTGGCCAGGTAGGTCAGCTTGTAGAATATATTATGTTTACACACTAGCTGCTTTCTTTTAAAATATATAAAGACTAAAGACTTCATTAAAAAGTTGTCTTGTCGAAGGGGGGATGATATTGGATATTTCTTATTTGTATCTTTGATGTTGTTCGAAAATGTTATATATTATTAAATCTTACAAAATGAAGGTTAATACCCGGTTTATCCATATAGGATTAAAAAAGCCCATGTAAAAAAGTTCCGAAAATTTAATAGTAAATACATCAAATCCGCAAAAAAATTTTATTCTTATAATCACTTTACTGAAAAGAATTGTTTACTTCAAAAACAACTAGATAAAGCTTATATTGATACTAGAAAGACACTGCGTCCCCTGAAGGCATGAAATATAGAATTTTAATACTATTTTCTAAAGAAGATGATTCAGCTTTTAATGTCCAAAATTAATAACTTTTTCCCACCAAAAGAATTAAATTTTGTTAAAGACCCTCTAACTAACCCGGTTTTTCTTTTAACATTATTTTCAAAATTTCAAGAGCATATATAAACTAATTTTTGTTTATACAGAATCTGTAAGCTATATGCTGAGCTTGCACTTTTCATATCAACTTCATATAGATCAAATTCCACACTAAAACGTCAAGACCTCTAGTCTAGCAAAAAGGAAAAAAATTTAAATCAAAAAGTTTGAAAGGATTACATATTCAATTTGAAGCGAACCTTTGTTTTCGATTCATAACAGCACCCAAACACTTTAATCTGATTCATAACAGCACCCAAACACTTTAATCTGATTCATAACAGCACCCAAACACTTTAATCTGATTAATAACAGCACCCAAACACTTATATCTGATTAATAACAGCACCCAAACACTTTAATCTGATTCATAACAACACCCAAACACTTTAATCTGATTAATAATGTGGAAAACATTGTCGCTCTTCTAGCTTAAGACATTTTAATTATGACAATTTCCCAATTTGTTTCGGAAGCAAAAATCCGTAATTTCACGTGACCTTTCACGCAGTGATGGCACTGGCCGATTCACAAAATCTTATTTATAATGTGAGAGATATAGTCGTTTTTACTAGGTCTGATATTTTATACATGTTTTTCTGCAGTAGAAATGCGCAAGTCACTTTTGTTGAGAAATCACAATTAAAAATAATCAGTTTCGAGATCAAAATATTAATATATAATTCATACTTTGCAGTCAAAGGTTTTAAGGTACCGTTGTTAACCTGGAAATATTTCAAGTGTGAATCTGACATGTTTTCTATAAATGGAGTGTCCCTTGAAATGAAGTCTCCAGGCCCATAAATACAACGATTCATAGATTATTAAATATGCAGACAGATTGAAAACTTTAATTAAAATTAGAAATAGTTTAAATATTAAAACATAATAGCTTTTTGGCTAAACAAAGGTGGTTTCAATATTTTTTCTCCTGATGGCTAATAACTTAAAATTTTGTGTAGATAGAATTTTGATGGGTTACCTTGAGTCTAATAAAGAAACTATTTTTTACCCAAACTTCTGTTGCAAATAAAAAGTTTATTTCATGTGGAATTACTCGTAACTCCTGTATAATTTTAGTTTAAAATCAAATTAATTTTGTGGCATTCAGTTATTATAAATTTGTTCTTATTAAAAGCTCTGTAGTAAAGCTAAAGTTTAAAATGACAAAAATAATATACTGTTTTTGGCAGGTTTTGAACAAAAAACATTTGATAATTAAATCAAATCTTGTAACTATGTATAATCAATGTATGTAAGAAGCCTAACATAATGTAAAATAAGTAAGAATCTGTTTTCCAAAAAAATACTCATTTTTTTTATTGTACTGCACCCAGCTAACTTATTTATGAACGAAAACAAATTATGAAGCTTCTTCAAGCATCCAAAAACTAGCCTTGTATCTCATTTTCTTCCGGCAATTCAGCAGATATATTAAATTGTGCTTGATTAGGTCGGAATAATTTTTCCCGGATGGTACAATTGAAATTGCCCCAACACCTATTTTTACGGAAATCATGACTTTTAAACTCATTTTGATTTTACTATATAGAAGAAAACTACGAAGAAGAAACCTAAGAAGAAAGCTGGTCCCTCTCCTATAGGTGTCATGACAAACTCTGAAACAAAATCTCCTGACAAATCCAACCCTTAGGTGCAGCGCTCAGCCCCACTAGACTGTCTTAGCCTGAGCGATTGACCTTCTTGCACCGTGCGACGCCGACGGCCCGGCCTAACCTAGATTTAAAATAAAAAATACTTTCTTTAATATTTTTTGGTAGTTTGTCATGCATATCCCCTCTTCAGAAAATCAGCTGATTGAAGCAGGGGATTTCATGAAGTATAAGCTGGCTGAGTTTGATGCTTGCACTTCAGGAACACACTTTTTCTCATCATATTTCACAGTGCCCCCCCCCCCCAAACCCAGGGGGGTATGCCCAGCATTCTACGATGTGATCTGACTTTGAAGGGACTGATGTTGGGATTTCAAGAGACCCTTTATTTTGAATGAAGGCCATGTTCTATTCCGTAAGGCAAGTTCGTTACGAAGCCTACAAATGAAAAAGTATCAATTTTTGAAATGAAAACTTGAAAATCTCATTCATTCTGGATCAAAAATGTTGGATACTGTTGTGACTCGGACATGCCACTTTATAAATGGAGGCTCACCTACAAATTTCGTGTACAGTCCCTTTAAGTTTTAAAACAATACATAGAATGCCTATTCTTTACCTTCAATGTGAATTGCATTGAAGATATTTATGCCTTCTTTATGAAAGTTTTATATTTATTTTTGAATTACAAGATTAAGAACACTGAATTGGAATGTGTCGAATTGTTTTATTTTTTTGTAGGAATTTAAACAAGAATTTAAAAAAACCTTAGCTGTGCAAAACTTCGTGGAAAAATTAGTGTTTTCACTTTATTGCAAATTTGAAGTATATAAATAGATCGAGACTAAGTTCCGAGGGTGACAAGAAAACATTTTTTTGGAGGGTGATGGGGTGGGGGGGGGGAGGGGGGTGTTTAAAAACTTGACAGCAAATTTGTGCTCGCGGATAGTTTAACAAAAATATTATAGACAAATTCTATTCTCTTTGATTACAGAAGTAGAACACGAAACTGTATTGATTTGCAAATTTTAATATATATACTTTTCTTGTTTGTCAATGTATGTCTGTTTATAATATACAAATACGGCTGAACCGATCAGGCCCAAATTTTTACACGACGCCGAGGAAGGTTTATAAACCATCAAATTTGAAAAAATGTTTACGTCGACATTGATTATTTATAAAAATTCACCAATTTGAAGAAAAAAAAACGGAGATCGATCTAAGATGGCGACATTCAGAGCAAGCTAAAACTGTTGAGAGGAAAGATAAGTTTTAACAATTGCGAGTCATTAGTTATTTAAATAATGCGCAATTTGAGTGAGTGTGTGTGTACTGCAGAAATGGAGAGGGTTGATCTTGTTTACAAAACAATCCCAGAAGATGCAACTACTATTGATCGACTGTGGCCGAATCAGCTTCTCAATAAAGACTCCAGAATAAGAAGGTAAAAGTAAAGAAAAATTCTTTAGTAAAATATTTTAAAATGAGTTCTAAGGCGGGAAAATTTGGTTGTCAAATGAATGAAAATTACAAATTACCTTAGTCCACGTGGAGTTAACGGGTCTGTCAATATTCCAGAAAGCTGTGACTTTCGATCACAATTTGACCCATTAAACACAATTTGTTAGCCTTTTTCCTTAAATACTTTTTTTGTCGGCATATACATTTTGAATGAAAAAGTATAATATAAACAAATCCGTAAGGTAAAAGATTGTTGAATTAAAGACCAAAACACGTTTGATTTCAAATTGAAGAAACCGATTGCTGCTCACTCTGGTTAGTCCGGTGTGAGTCGTGGTCTCCGATATTTACTACTTTTAATTCTGGAAGATCAAACAGTCAAAGTTTGAAATATATCTGTCTGCAACATTAGGTTGCAAAGATATAAGGATTAAAAAATTGTATTAATGTTAAAAGTGATCAGTTTCTTTCTTGGGGAAAGTGTGGAATGTTCTGATATTGCTTTTTAAGACTATACTAAATAGTAAAGTCTATGCTCGCCGTTTCTAAAAATAATGTGAATATTTAGGGAGTTATTGAATGCTGGAATGGATCTTCTGGTGAATGGCGAGTATGAGAGTGCACTAGGAAATAAAATAAACAAAAAAATGATATTTGACTTTTAAGGTTTTTGTCAATCGTGTTTTTAAATTTTAAAATTGGTCTAAATCTTTTTTAACTTGTTTTTATTTTTAGAGAAGTATAATCGTGCAGCATTGTACAGCTCAGGTATAACATTTTTTCTTTCAATTTAAAAAAATCTTTTTATCATATTTTGCCAAATATACCTGTAAAGACGTATTTTTTAAGGTTTTAGTTATGAAGGAGTAATTGAAAAAATCCTAGTTGATAGACAATGTTATCACATTAACATGTTTATCGTTCAGCAACCTCTATAGAAATGGGGATATATCATGATTTCGATAATATAATTTAAACGACTTTTCTAATACGGTTTTGTTTGTTCCTATTATCAGACATTTCCCCCCAAATTTTAGATAAAAATTGCGAAGGAAATGTATGGTCAGCCAAAAACTATTAATTTTTGAATCCCTATATCTTTGCAATACGTTTCAATATTTTAAACTATGAATTTTCTATTTAGTTTGCAATATCAATTCATAATGTTTAGATATAGTGACATATGCTTAATAACAAGATGTCGTCTTTTCAAGATTTAGAGGTTTTTCGTTTGCAAAAACCCTGAGGCAGAAGCCCAAAGGAGTTACTCGTATGCCGCGTTGAATTACAAGACAGAGAGAGGGTTTCTGTCTCAGGGTTATTGTGAACGAAAAATCCCCTAAAACTTGAAAAGACAGTATCTAGTGTTCTATCTGTATTGTTATTAATCGATGTATAGGTTAGAAAGTTCTGGTTTGTGACAAGAGCTCTTTTCTTTGTATCAAGAACACTCTTTAAATGCATCTTAATGTCTTAATTTAGGCAAAGGATTGGCAATTTCTCTAGCAAGACGAGGAGCATTTCTACTACAGACCTTGGATCATAACTTAGCTTTAAGGTGATATTCGTTTTAACTTTTAAAATCGTTGTTTTTAAAATGTTCTCTATAACATTTAGCTTGGAATTGAGTCCATACCACAAACTACAATTTTCTAATCTTTTCAACATGGTATACAAATTTTATAATTCAAACCCAGATTATTTAGAATGGTGGATATCAAGATTAATGCTTAAACTCCTGGTTTTACTAAACCCAAGATTATTTTAAAACGCATTCGATATTCAAGAAAGAAGTTAAAAATTTAACAAATAAGCGTGTCATGTTAAGATGTACTCTTTAACTTTTGAAAAACCGATTTTGATTTTTGGTGTTGATGGTGTCATATCAATTGAACTAATCATCGATTAAACGAACGTAAGTTTTGGATTAATGTTTATTAAGACTAACTTCAGAACTACAATAGTCCTAAAATAGGTTTTCAAATAATTTCAACATAACATGATTAAATATATATTTGTTTAAATGCTATAAAGGCCGTCTTTTGAACAGCTGACTAATTCAATCGATATAAGTCCAATCGATATAGCATTTTATCGGTAATTGTTATCAAACGTAATTTTTAAACAGTACAAATATGCAAAAAGAGGAATAATAAATTATTAGATTATATTAGATTAGAACGCTAGTGTTTGTTGTAAAGATTCATTTCCTGTTTGCTAAATTTTATGCCTGATTTATTCGGTCGTTTTAACGTTTATTGGATACAAATAAAGAAATCAAAATGAAATTAAACACTAGTTAGACAATCCAAATCCATGCAGATATACGAGGCTTTTAACTGTTGCATTTTTTTCTCAAATAATAAAAAAATCACGGATTTATTTAGTTGAAATTGGAGGATTTTTAACATTTGATGAATCAGTCTACATTTTTGTTTTCAAGCAAAATGTTTTTATTTTGAAAGTTCATAAACCTTCCCTGGGGTCCCTGTCACAAAAAAATTGTCCCTGGTCGGTTTTTATGTTTTGACGTTTGTGGGATACAAACAAACAAAAAACATCCACCCAAACACTTAATATGACAAACTAAATTATATATGTAGATATCTTATGTTTTTGCTTGTTTTAAATTAAAAATTTGTTATTTTAGAGATTTATCCCTAGCTCTTGAGTATGGATGTCTGGAAAATGAACTGATGGACTTTCTATTAGATCATTACGAACAAGGTAATTTCTTTAAAGGAGTGTTATTGTAATTACATGTGACCCTTCATTTGAAGAAGGTCAAGTCCAATTCAAAATTATATCATATTTCTAGCTTGAAAAGGGTGTAATTTTTGACTATTTCATTCTTTAGAAGAAAGCCGGAAGTCACTTTTTTAAAAACCAAAGCTGAAAATAATAATTCTTTTTTACTTTATATACAGTTTCTGTAATTCCTATTTTTATATTATTTTTTTAAAAAGTTTATTCTGTTTTTGCACTTAAAAATAATTTTTTAATGTTTGTCAAATATTTTCCCCCTTTAAAAGAAGAGTGGCAAAGTCAATGGATGGAAAAGATATGACGATTTGGTTTTGATATAACGTTTTTTACCCCTGTTCTAGGATGAATAATAAATTCTTGTCAGAATTCAACATGTATTAGGGTATAGAAAACTACAATAACTTTTTCAAATAGTTGTTTGTACTGTGAATTGGAACCCTCTCTATGTACGTCGAGGTCTCTTGAAATTATCGTTACAGCTCCTTTAAACAAAAAGTCCTTATAACAACGTGGGAGTTTTCAAACTATATTTAACATAAGTATTGTAAGTAACGTGTTATATTTTTAACATAAGGTGATGATAAAATTTAGTGTGAAAATATCTTTTTCATTTTATTTTTCGATATTATATATTTTAGATATTCCCTCTGAGTTAATTGTTGGAAAGAAATATGAAATGAAGTATAACAGATCAGTTCTGAAACGAGATCAGAATCCAATAGTGTTTAGAATAAGGTAATGAATAAAGTGGGGTAACACATTTCTTGAACTTGGACTTCCAAAGTGTTCAGTAAAAACCTAAAATTTCTAATAGAAAAGAGGTACAAAGCTCCTTGGAAGTCTAGTAGTCATAAATTTCACAAACAAAGAATTTTTTTTTAACATATTTCAAAAATATATTTGTTTGATATATAATAACACTTTATCATAGTATTATTATTCTTTCGTGTCTCTACCACGTTTTTGATATTGTCTATACGTGTCTTTTTAGTTATTTGGAAAACATCCTCATTACATAAACACATCACTAAGTGTTAAGTTAGGCCCTCCGCAGGCTACACTAGGGACTAAGGCTTCACCAACTTTTTAAATGTGAACTACTATAAGGCTTGACATATGATGGGTTGATTCCTTGGGCATTTTTTTAAAATTTCCCATAGAAAAAATGAGAAATAATGAGAAAAAATGAGAAAAAATGAGAAAAAATTGGGGGAAAAGAAGAAAAAATGAGAGAAAAATCCGTTTTTGTTAAAAAGATGGGCGTGAAGCGCTCCGGATGGCTGTGAGGTTTTAAAGTAGTGCATCAAACGTTTGCTAATTTACTAAATTATGTTGTCTAAGGAATCTATTTCAGGGACTATGCTGAGTCATAATTTTATCTCATATCATACTGACAGGACGGGGTCATCTCAAATATTAATATTTTTATCAAAATTTAGAAAAATTTACAGAATTTAGCCATTTGGCTGATATGAGTATTCGGTATGTATGACTTATTTTAACGTTTCGCAAAAAACAGGGATTTTGTTATGACACTTTGTTATTTTCTTATTAATGGTTTATTTAATTTAACAAATATAGTTAGATAATTAGAATTTTCTTTTTTATACAGTTAGATCGAACATTTTGTGAGTAAAGTGACTCCATGGCAGAGTAACTCGAGAATCTTGATGGCTCTTTGTAGTGCATCAAACGTTTGCTAATTTACTAAATTATGTTGTGTAAGGAATCTATTTCAGGGATTATGCTGAGTCATAATTTATCTCATATCATACTGACAGGTCGGGGTCATCTCAAATATTGATATTTTTATCAAAATTTAGAAAAATTTACAGAATGTATGACACTTTGTTATTTTCTTATTAATGGTTTATTTAATTTAACAAATATAGTTAGATAATTAGAATTTTCTTGATTAAATTCAGAAATAATACAAGTTTTTTTATACAGTTAGATTGAACATTTTGTGAGTAAAGTGACTCCATGGCAGAGTAACTCGAGAATCTTGATGGCTCTTCACTTTATAGCTAGCAAAATAAGACTATCAATTATATTTACAGTCCCATTATTACTCTAATTCTAATTTTCTAATTCTAATTTTCTAATTCTAATTTTCTAATTCTAATTCTAATTTTAATTTTGTTCTAGGAATGTTCTAGAAGCGATATCCCTCCTTCGCAAGAGAAATACCCCTGAAGCAAAGCAAGAAAAAGCTCTGAAAATGGCAGAGATCCTAGGATATATAAAAGACTCCGAAGAATCATCAGATTTTACAAAAAACATAGAAACAAAAGAGTTTCAGATTCCTAGCATAGCACAGGGATGGAAAGTTATTAGTAAAAAAGATTAATTGGAACCAGATTTAATGCATAGAAAGAAGTGGTTGAACTACTTCTTTTTTCAAGCGGGAAAAAAAATTGGTTTAATTTAGTCTTTAATACGATGAAATTCAAAAAATATACAACCTAGCTTCAAACTTTTGCACATCGACCCAAAAGGGGAAAAGCCTGTTTAAGTATGTAACCAAAGAGAGTGGAAAAATAACTTTATTAGAGCAAAAGGAAATATCAACAGATTTTTAAATTATCTTTCGAATTTTTCATTTGTTTTTAGAAAAATTCCAGATTCTCTGCATTTTCAGAAAGTGTATCAATTGCATTTGACCCGGAAAAGGTATTTAATGAATTATAAATTCTTGGTTCCGCCGTTTTTAGCTTAAGATAAGCTTACATTATTTAGCTGTATTTATATGTTTTTATAAGAGAAGTAATTTACAATAGTCAATCAGCACTTTCTTATTTAATCTATTAAAAATGCTTTTTTAAAACATTGCCTATACGCTTACATTCCTCTAAATAAGCTGGCTCTGAAGTTTTAAGAATAATGATCTAACAAATTTACTAATATATTAAAAGAGCTTACACACATTTCCGGGACTGGGAGCTACACATTTGTACATTGCCATGTCGACTTCACTATGTTTCCCTTTAAACTTTGTTTAGAATACAAATATTTTTCAGTGAAACAAGAGGTACTGAAAAATATTTGTAGTCCAAACAAAGTTTAAAGGGAAACTTTATGTGAGTGTACCAAGATATAAGGTTTCCGTCCACTCAATTTTATACCTGAGTAATAGGAGTTCTCCACAATTGATGATTAGACCAAGATTTACAGTGGTACCATTGGGAATCTGACATACCACTGTACAGATGGAAAATAACTTTACATTAAGTATTTTATGTTTGTTTCAGGGGAGATATTTAGTTGCAACAAAGGATATTTTGGCTGGAGCTCTAATAGGGATAGAGGAAGGTTTATCAACCCTACTCTATCCTGAGAAGATGAACAACACCATTTCTCATTGCCAACATTGTTTCAAGTTTACTAAATGTCCTCTTCCTTGCGAGGTAAGGATTTTTTTTAAGTTTACATGATTATAAAAGTATATTAAGGGAGTCAATAGCAAGAATTAAACAAATGAGGATTTTTTAGAATAATTATATTTTCCCTATTAAATATTATTGACGATTTCTTGTAAAACAATTGTTTCTAGAGAAAAAATAGTCCACAGAATACTTTTTAATGATTTTTCAAATTTGTATTCCATTAGATCAAGATGTTCCTTATATCCTAAGTAGCATAGAGAGAAACAGTAAAAATACATTTTTGTTTCTATGCAGTTACTGTTAGATAAGACAAAACGGAGAAATATTTTTAACACAGCATTTATACCTTATAGAGAAACATTATTTGTATTAAATATATCTTATTTTTTTTTGCTATGCCATTTCAACTCATCTATCTAATATTTCAATTTTTTTCCAGACATGTTGTTCAGTTGTGTTCTGTTCAATTAAATGCAGACAATTAGCGTCTGAGAGCTATCACAAGTATGAATGTGAAATGCGGATTTATGAAATCATACCCTTGGAATCTTTAGAAATGGCTCCGTTCTTTTTAGTACTCCGAACATTGACACAAGAAAGCCTTCAGTTTTTCATCGATAATGGAGAGTCCTTTGAACAGTTTTTAAATGTAGAGGAACCAATTCATCCGTTCGATGGACGGAATATGGAGTGTCTAAAGCACTTGGACATGATGAATCTTGTCACACACATGAACAACATACCTGAGGACAAATCCATGAAGTGTGCTGTAATCTCAGTTTACATTCTGAGATGCTTACAGCATGGAAAGTATTTCAAGAATCACGTTCCTCAGAGAAAAAAAGGCGACCGAACCCTTCATAAACATGAATATCTTATGTTAAGAATCATTCACCATCTAGTGTTTGTACAACTTCACAATTCCCAACCCATAAATAAACTTATCACTGAACCTGGAAAATTCTCATGGGAAAGAATGGGAATATCATTAAATACAAACATAGCTCTGGTCAATCATAACTGTGATCCCAATTCGTTTATTTTCCATCTGGATAAACATGTACTATTATTAGCCTCTACGCATATAAAGGAAGGAGAGGAAATTTCTATTTCTTATGTTCCAACATACCTCTATCTTAATATTGAAAAACGAGAATACAGACTTTTGAAAAACTTTGAGTTTCAGTGTGAATGTCGAGCATGTATTGAAAAATGGAAACTTATTGATGATATTCCAGATATACTTCCTCGTATTCCAAACTTTGAGCAGGAACGCTGTTTTGTTGTCAGACATGGGGATAAAAAACAAATTTGTGATGAAATTAATGGTGCTAGATGGATGGCGGATTTTGGTCTTAATTCAGATTCATTTGAAGTTGCTCAAGAGGCGTTGGATACGTTGTGTCAATCCCTGATCACTCATGTCAGGAAACCCCATTTACATTTTGTTGAAGCATGTGAGCTAGTAGAAAAGTTAATAATTAGTCGATATATTGGATTTACTATGACCGAACTTGCTAAAATTGAGGCAGAGGCTGCTATTAAAGTTACCAAGGAAACATCCAAACAGATGGCAGAGACAGATGAAATATGTCAACCATTACACAAGTCTAACCCCAACTCTGAAATCACAAATCTAAAAAATGGACACCACAAAAGTGAGCTTAAATCAAATTCTATGGATACACCTGAAGAGACAGAGAAAATGGGTACTTCCAAACTAATTAAAGCTTTTCAAGAACAAAAAGAAAAAAGTTCAAGTCCCCTCCTTTCAGCCAGATCAAGATCACCAACATTACGAATGTTTTCCTCCCCTGAAAAAAGTGGAGAAAAGAAAAGAAGCGTACTGGAAAGATTTGATGACTCCAAGTTAAAAACTGTATCCTATCAAGCTCTACAAGATGTAAAAAAGGCCAAAAGAGATTTGGTAGAGTCTATGAAGCGTTTTCCAGCCAAGACAGACATGGCAGAGCGTATGGCAGCCTTTCAATCAAATGAAAAGGTTAGTTTTTTGTTTGATACTTATTACAAACTTTTAAGAAAAGAACGTTCACTGAGTTATTGTAACCATCTCTGATTTTCTCTGATCTTTGCAACCCAATGTCTTAGACCAAATATATTGAAGAGATAAGAATTAGAAAATCTGGGTTTGTGGCAAAGACTAAATTCCTTTATCAATTCCTTTAATTTTTAATAGGCTATTACCATTATTGTTAACAAATGTTAAACATTTAGGAAATACCACAAAGAGGTAAAAGCAAAGAGAAAACTGAAATTAAAGCTGAAACCACCAAGAAGGAAGATATGAAAGAAAATAATGCCCCACCTACCCCTAATTCTCAATTACATGTGAATAAAAAGCAAAAAGGGAATATAAAAACACTGGAAACTATTTCAGAGGAAAGAAAGGCATTTATGGAAAAAGATGATCAAGTTCAAAAAAGAATAATCATCCGAGAAGAAAAGCTAGAAATTTTAAAAGAAAAAAGCCTGAAAAAAGACAGTGAGCTGACAGCAAAAGAGCTAGAGCTTCAAAAGCTTCGAGAGAGAACAAGGCTTCTTATGCAGAAAGCTAAAGAAAAGGAGGAAAATTTTTCAAAGGAAGAAAAGGAATTTCAATCATCATTGGAAAAAGGTCCAAAGGATGGAAAAAGTAGGTTGGATAAAATTCTCGCCAAAGCAAATGAAAAAGCAAATGCAATGAAGGAGGAAATGAGAAAAAAACGAGCAAGCGAGGATGAAGACAACTTGTTATCTTTTTTAAGAAAGTCTCACAAAAAGGGAGACAGCATTTATTCTTTTATAGAAGAAGATAAAAAAGAGCCTGTGTCCACTAAAGAAGAGACAACTACAGTACAAGAAGCACAAACATCTTTCCAAATATCAACAGAAATCTCAGATGTAGTTTCTACCGCTGGTGCCTGTGCTAACTTTTACAAACCAACAACATGTATGGATATAAAGAAAGCTGTACAAAAGTCAATTGACAAAAAACAGAATGAAGTTAAACACCTTAAAAGGGTTGAAACAATGTCGATTTTGAAAAAACATGTAGAAAATGGCATTTCGGTGAACACTCTCAATATAAATAACTCCGAAATTCAACCAACTGATGCAAAGCATTTGTATTCCAATGGTCAACAAAAAGAAACATGTAAGGTGTCCTCAATCAACTTTTATCTACCAACAAGTCCCCGTCCTAACCGAGCAGTGCAAGAAAAAAAACCTATAACTTCAAAGAGTGGTGATCATGAAAAGGCTTTAAACCATAAAAAAATGCAATGTAAATTCCAGATAGGAGGAGATGACTCTGAAACTGAAGCTAATGAGGAGATAACTACTAGCTTCCAGAACAACTCTGAACCCATGCACTACTCTGAGAGGTGGAGTATGAGTCCTGTTTCCCAAGATGAAAATGAACGCCAAAGTAGATCTAAACTTAGATCTTTGGACAAACCTCCAATAATCATAAATGGAAAAATTCATAGCCCAAAAAGAAATGAAAGTAAACATGAGTATGGCAAGCTAAGTAGAAGAAAATCCTTAAGTGATAACTGTTTAATTTCTAAATCTAAACGAGCAAATGCTAATTGTACCTCAGAAAAAGATCTTGATGCATTTGGCATCCCTAAAATCCCCCGGCAGACAAGAAGCATTTCTTTGATGAGAGAAACTTTTATAAAAAGACCAACAATTGAAACCTCCAACTCTAAGGAAAAACAGAGACGCATAAGCCATGAAACAAGAACAAGCTCAGCAGCAGAGTTTAAGTCATTATTTGAAAATGGAAGTGCTTCAAGTAGGAATTCAAGATCAAGCACTCCATGCAAGCCAATTCAGGTCATTTTACAAAAACATTCCATTCAAGCTAAACTAAATTTAATGAATTTGAGCTACACCGCTAAACTACCTCCTGCCAGTTTAAATTTGAATCACTTTGCACCGTTTCAAAGTTAATTAATTAAGGATTTAAATCGGTAGTTCAAATTTGAACCGGCGGTGGGAGACAGTTCAAATTCATTGAATTTGGTCCCGGTAGTGTTTTCTGATCTAATGCTTTTCTAACGTGAAACCATTTCCTTGGGAAAATCAAGAATATTAATATTGATAAACCGTGTCATAAAGGTTATATATTTTAGAAATGCATTATTCTTTTATTTTTTTTTTAAAGATTTGAGATACACCTTTAACATAAAGACAGGAAAGACTCTTTATAAAAATGCCATCATTAATAGTAATATCAAGAACAAGCTAGTTTTTTTGAAAACGATTCACGGATTTCTACGTTATAGACAAGCAAGAAAATTAAGACATAAGTCCAATTGCTAGAAGAAAAAACACATGAGTACCTTGGTTATCAGAAAAATTTTTTTGGGGGTTAGGAACTTTGGGTATGGACATAATTTTATAAATTAATAGTTTTTCATTTACTTAATAATTTTTGCAAAAAAAAAAATTATGTAGTGAAAAAACTAACTAAAGATTAACTAATTTTGCCTCAAACTCTGATTATATAATCCCTATATCTTTGCAACCCAATGTAATAGACCTTATATATTTTAAACTTTTTTGTTAGATCAAATAATCTAAGTTTGACATATAAAAAGTATATACAATCAAGTTTGCAAGAAACTTGGAGCTATATGACAAAGACTCATTTCCTTTGTATTCAAAAACCACTTTAAAATAATGTTTGCCTTTTGTTAAGGTTGACCCCGAACATCTGAGTAAAATAAAAACTAAATTTGAAGAAATACAAACTGACAACTTGAAACTTCCCTTTCCAAACTACAGGGTCAAACCTCCTCGCCCTCAAGGGAGACCACCACCTCCTCCAAGAATTTAATAAAAAAACCATGAAATAAATAAATAAAACATTTACCAAAAAATAAATTATTTTAGCGAACTGTAGGAAAGTAACTAATTTAGTTTCAGTCTATGTATTCTCAAAATGCCAGAGACTGTTAAGTAATAATTTTAAATTTTAAAGCATATTATTCAAGAATTAATAATAGGCTAAAATTTTCTTTTTGATTGTGCGAAATTTTGTCTATACCACTTGTTCTATCTGCTTCCTTCCACTGGTTCGGAAGAAATATTTAATTTGGTATACAGGAACTCGCAGTATGCCTGAAGATTCAACCCAGTTTTAGGTCTGAAGAGAGGTGTGTGAATTTCTGGGGAAAGTCAGAAAACTTTAATAAGTTTTGAGTATTATTGAGCCCCTTCATACCAACAGATTTAGAGTGAACTTTCTTTAACCCTTTTAATTGGTTATTATATATATATTAAAAAAACGAACTATAGTAGTTTTTTCTTTTTTCGTTCTTTCGTTAACGAAGGTACGTCTTTTTATTTTTGATAATCGTTTTATCGTGTGCCTGAAACTAAATAAATCAGAATATATTCATATGAACGATATTCATATGAACGATATTCATATGAACGACATTCATATGAACGATATTCATATGCACGATATTCATATATATATAAACGATATTCATATGAACAATATTAATATGAAGGATATTCATATGAACGCTATTCATATAAACGACATTCAAATGAACGATATTTTTATGAACGATATACATATAAACGATATTCATATGAACGATATTCATATGAACGACATTCATATAAACGATATTTATATGAACGATATTCATATGAACAATATTTATTTGAACGATATTCATATGAACGATATTCTTATGAACAATATTCATATGAACGATATTTATATGCACGACATTATAAACGATATTCATATAAACGACATTCATATGAAGGATGTTTTTATGAACGATATTCATATGAACGACATTCATATGAACAATATTCATATGAACGATATTCATATTAACAATATTCATAAGAACGATATTTTTATGAACGATATTCATATGAACGATATTCATATGAACGATATTCATATGAACGACATTCATATGAAAAATATTCATATGAACGATATTCATATGAACAATATTCATAAGAACGATATTTTTATGAACGATATTCATATGAACGATATTAATATGAACGACATTCATATGAACAATATTCATATGAACGATATTCATATGAACAATATTCATAAGAACGATATTCATATGAACGATATTCATATGAACGACATTCATATGAACAATATTCATAAGAACGATATTCATATGAACGATATTCATATGCACGACATTATGAACGATATTCATATGAACGATATTCATATGAACGATATTCATATGAACGATATTCATATGAACGACATTCAAATGAACAATATTCATATGAACGATATTCATATGAACAATATTCATAAGAACGATATTCATATGAACGATATTTATATGCACGACATAATAAACGATATTCATATGAACAACATTTATATGAACGTCATTCATAAACATTAATTCATACTATAACAAAAAAAATAAAGTTAACTTTTTTCGAACGACCATCTGTTTAGTATGACAAGCATATCGTCGTTTCGTTCTTTTCTAAAAACTGAGATTCGTTAGTTTTGAAAATTCAAAAACGAAGTAAAAAACTGAATTTATTTTGGTCGTTTTATGAACGATGAATAACCCTATGCATATTTATTAAAGGAATTGTTCACTTAATTAAAGATTTAAAAAATTGTTATTCTAATTTTCTATTTTTTACACATTCAGGGTTTTCTGGGTTTTAAGGCTTTCGGGAGACTTCACAAAAATTATATTTGAACATTGTATTCTCTAAAAGATCTGCTTTTATTACACTATGGCAGAAGATAAACTTATGAATGATTTTTCAAATATTTCGAAAACTAACGAGTGATCGCCTAGACACGTATATATCTTTTATAAGAGTAAAATTTTGCTATACTTCATGAAACAAAAATTGAAAAAAAAAATAAAATTTTAAACTACGTAAAACTTCATAGGTTTGTGTGAGCTCTCTTTAAAGCCTATAATTCAAGAATATCTTAAAAAGTGAAAAATAACGATGCCAACTCAGTTCCTGCCCGCAGGCACACGAATGTCCATAATTTCTTATTTTCACAATATGATTTTTGTCTAGACAAACGAAGAATATATTATTTGATAAACTATTTGATCCGATGATTTATAAGTTTAAACTTGTTTTTCTTGTTCTGTTTAATACATTTAAATATGGTGCTTAGTTCGTATGTTCACTCTGCAACAAAACAGATGTTCTTTTTTATTTAAAAACTCTGTTATATTAATTTACAGAAAAATGGGAAGTACTGAAAAAATGTTTATTGGGGGTGAATGGGTTGAGGGGGCCTCAAGACTGACTTTCATAGTCAGGTTAATATTTATTTTGGATTGGGAAAAGAAGTGTTCACTACATATTCAAAGGAAGAACTTATTGAATTTTAGATACAAGAATAATTGAATCAAACTCTGAGGCAAACAGAATTTATATTTTCTCTTAACAAAAAAATAATGTCTCCTATCCTAACCTTTAATAACGAAGTAGATGACGTGTCACCCTTCCCTTTTAAAATTGACATATATAAGAACAATAAAAATACTTAGTTTACTTTTTATTTAATGATGCTGTTCTTAATTTTTGAATTCGGTTAATATAAGCGCTAAATTATAATGTTTACATTTCGTAATCGGGATTGCAGTGACAAGTTACATAAACGAATTTTATTTAAAGAATTTTTTAAAAAGTTTTGGCGACAAACTAAAATTGTCTACTCCCTATATCTTTGCAACCTAATGGTGTAATCCTTTGATATTTCATCTAAAATAATTCATAGTTTGAAATATCAAAGGTTACGACATTGGATTGCAAAGATTAGGGATTAAGAAAACCAAAGTTTAAGGCAAAAACTCAGTTCTTTTTATATGTTATTTCCGCGTACACAAAGATAAATATATATACATACATATTCATATATATTAATTAAAATTTTGTTAAATATATAGTTTAAAAAAATATGCAAATTATGTAAAAATAGGCGACATTGATCACATCCTTCCATACATAAATATCTGTAATATCAGAAATTAGAATGAAGAATTCATTGTCGATTTTTCTATGTTTCAAAAGTGTTTGATTTTAATAATTTATTTAAAATTCGAACTTGATCAGAAAAAGCGTTTTAGGATACCGTTGTGAATCGACCATTACCATCGTGGAGGATCACTTTAAATTACGCTTACAGTCCCTTTACACATATAAATTGTTTATTCTTGTACCATATTTAGGAATCCATTTAATAATGAAGAGTTATGCACTGTGTCTGATGGAGGTGTAGAGGATGTACGTCAAGCAGTTGATGCAGCACATCAAGCTTTTCCACTCTGGAGAGCTGTTCTTCCTAGAGATAGAGCAGAATATCTCAGGTAGATTACGCAGTTTATATCCTAGCACTTAAAGAACGGTTCTGTTAACTATTTGCCAGCTAGACCAAGGGCGATTTCATGGGGGGGCCTGTACATTACCCCCCCCCACTAAGAAAAATTAGGAGGGGGTGTACCCCCCCTTGAATTTTTACAAAGGATCATTTCTCATTTTAATTATAATTTTTATTTATATATTATATATGTATATAATATATAAAGTTTACTTGAAAGTGACAACTTTGTAGAAATAAAAATATAGATATAAAAATGCTCTCATTGAACAGGTCATCTATTGCCACCGACAGGTTGGTCAACCTGGGAATCAATTTTGGACATCAGTGTTTTAAATGCCTTTATTTCAAGTGTCCCAAGAAAACTAAATTATTGTAGATTGGAAAAAAGAGGATATTTTTATTATTTTTTTTATTTTACACAAAATTCCTTTATTTACTTTCAGCCTTCTTTTGGTTATTTTTAACTTTAAAAATAAACTTAGAAACTACTTGCAGTCTCCTGCAAATAAACTAGAAATTTAACGTTTGAAAAAATTTCTCATTGAACATAATACGCATAAAGTTTCGTTCTTAACTATGTAATTTACCATGTTACTCATTAGTTGGATATATTTTAACTCATTTCAAGAATCTACAACCTAACAAATTTTGCTTCTGAAATTCAAGCAACTTAAGCATTGACTAAAGTTTTTTCATAAAAACTTCACAAGTTCAAGGCTTTCTCCCTGACTATAACAACATACACGTAAATTAGGATTTAAGCTACAAAAAGAGCATTTAATATAAATAAATATATATTTCATTTTTGATTAACAGGCATATGTTTGTTTCAAATTAAAAAGATGATAACATAACACTGTAAAGTAGAAAAATTATAAAAAGTTCATAACATAAAAATATTATTTTCTTCATCTGAGATAGGTCAATTAAGAAAACTGTTGACAATGGCTGGTCACTAAAATCACATTTATAATCCCTTTTAATGAAGATTCTGGATATAATAATCTGAGGCATTTGTTTCTCTCCGTACAGCTTTGCTTATTTATATCACAAGAATTAACAATTATGCATGATGCATAACAGGCATGTTAAACTAATCTGTATTGGTCACTGCATTAAAGTTAGTACTGTACACACAGTACAAACAGATCATAAGGGCCCCGCAAAGTTATTCTAAATTACTTGGGACATAAAATGTCGTCTTCCAACTACGAGTTTGGCTAACTTTAGTATTTATTCACTTAGTATACTGTAAAACAGTGATGTATCCCTTGGTTTGGGCACCACTTAACCCTATTCCCGCTGGGGGGGGGGGTCAATTTGACCCCCCCTGTAGTTTTTTTTACATAACTCAAAAAGTATTGGTCTGAGGCTGTTGAAATTTTCTGACTTTTCTTACATACCCAAAGCCCTCCCCTTAGGCCTAAAACCGGGCTTTAATACTAACTGCCTGAGTCCTCAGGCACACTGCCTGAATGACTGCTTTTGACTGTAGCAAACTAAATCTTTGTTTTGACCCACTTTCACTTGTCAGATTTTGATAAAATTTAGCTTTTTGGAAAGCCTATGACATAAGGAAACGGATTGCACAAGTTTTGCGAAAAAAAAATTGCAAATTTTTTGCAAACAACCTGTCAAAGGAAATTTGCACATTTTTAGTTTTTCTTGATTAAAAATCAGGTTATTTAAAATTTTGCAAAATTTTTTGCATATTTGAAATGGCATGGTCAAGGGCTTTTCAAAAATGTATAATTTGTCATTTTTTGGACAAATTTTTTTTTGCAAACATTTTTACTATAAAACTGGATTTTGCGATAAAAAATTCAATTTTCGCAAATTTGCAAATTTTTTTGCAGATTCTAAAAGTAGAGCACAAGAGCTTTCTAATGATGTATCATTTGTCATATTTGGACATAAAACATGAGATTTAGAGGGGGGGGTCAAATTGACCCCCCCCCAGCGTATCCTGGTTTTCAAGTACCCCAGCGGGGATAGGGTTAACCTCAAGATCATGGCTGCCATGTTAAGAGCTATGTACAGACACAATTCTATAAGTCTGGTTGGCATTTTTATTCTGCTGGTGGGGATTGGTTGGCATTTAAAACAAAGGTATTCTATGCTGGGGATAAAAGACTTTAAAAAGGCATTCCCTAAAAGAGAAAATTGCAAACTGAGTGAATATAATCCATAGTTTGGGGAATCTTTTTGATCAATTAAATCAAATTATCTGAATTCAAAAATCTGTGTTTAACAAGTTTTACACTCCATATATAAGACTTAAAGAAGCTGCAAGATAGTACTTTAAGCTTATATTATCCTTTTGATAGAGTTGTCACATGGATAACATAAATTCGCACCAAGTACCCCAGCAGTTTTGCATCAAATGGGATTTTAACTCCTGTAAGGTTTTCTTGCCCACTCATAACTTGTTCTAAAAAAATTCTATTCCAAAACTTTTCGAGTCCAACAATTAACTTTGAGCTCTTTATGTTTTTGATGTAAAACGATCAGCTATGTTTGATAAGCTCCACCAGAAAGTTTATCATTAATAAATAAAATGTTAAAGGTATTGTTTGAGTAAAATGGGAAGTATATAACAAATATTATTGAATAGACGATTTATCTTTAACTCAAATTTCAAGCTAATATAATATGGGAATAATTATAATTTATTTTACCCATTGCAGTTTGAAAGAAAAGTTGTGTCCTTGTTCCAAAATGCAACTTTATATTTATGCTTATCTGTATTATTAGCCAATATTTCATATTGAGCTGGTTATGACATATTCTCTGACAAGAGCTTTTTTGTGTCTATATTTAAACTAAGTTATGTTTAGATTAGTAATTACCATGCATTACATGTCAAATTGAATTAATTTAATGTACTAATTAAATCATTTACAACTATTTACAACTATTTTTTAAAGACCTATCAAAAGAACAAAAAGTTTTGAATTTCGAATATGTATCCATATGCATAAAATCAAATCTAGGGGAGCTACGAGGTCACAAAATCGTACTTTAGCATACATTTTACCATCTCCTTTTGTCTGTTTGCAGTGATTAAAGAATTCATATATCTAGGAAGATAGGTGACCTCCTGTTGGCTGAAACGGATCGACTGGCAAAGATATTAACCCTGGAGAATGGTAAACCCTTGGAGGAGGCGAGGGGGGAAATCAAGTTCTCAGCTTCATTCTTTCATTGGTTTGCTGAGGAGTGTAGACGGTAAGATATTAACCCTGGAGAATGGTAAACCCTTGGAGGAGGCGAGGGGAGAAATCAAGTTCTCAGCTTCATTCTTTCATTGGTTTGCTGAGGAGTGTAGACGGTAAGATATTAACCCTGGAGAATGGTAAACCCTTGGAGAAGGCGAGGGGGGAAATCAAGTTCTCAGCTTCATTCTTTCATTGGTTTGCTGAGGAGTGTAGACGGTAAGGCAAAGGATTTATTAAATCGAATTAAGTTTGAAACATCGATTCATAGTTAAAGATTAAGAGAGTATTTGAATTGTTGATTCAAATTTGAATCGGCTGTAGGCAGTTTAGATTCATTAATTTAAATCCCTGGGCTCTACTTTAATCCTGAGCTGGTTTACAGCATTCAATATTAAAGCACACTTTGATCGTTTTTTTCTTTTTACTTTTCCTTCACATTTGAATGATAAAAAAAGAGCTTTTAAAAAATATTCAAATTGTCTTTTTAATCTTAAATTCAGACTAATAAAATAAATGATTGCACGGTAATTCTACCGTGTTTGTTGTCGTTTTTAAGGCGTTTACATATCTCATATTAAAACTTATTTTATGCATTGTATTTCCAGAAATATTGAAAATAATATTTTGCTCTTACATTTTGATCTTTATATCAGCGAAAATTAAGAATAAGGATAAGGATTTAATGGCCCTTTGCATAACCAGATCAATAAGTAATCTGACTTTTTATGCGGGATGTGTTGTGTAAAGTTTTAATTGAACGTTAGAATTGTGGGGTTCTTTTTGTCGCTGGATGGAGGTTGTTTCTATCCAGCCTTGAACTCCGGTTCCCTCCTATTTAGATTAGTTATATTTTTTTCCAGATTGCCTCATTAGAGGAGTAATTTTTTCCCTTTCAGAGTGTCGTTGCTCTGGAATTTTCTATTAGGTTTAAGATGAATTTTCTTAGAGGATAGACGATTAAATAAAAAGAAATGAAGAAAAAAAATGCTAACGTTGTTAAACCTGTATTTTTTTTTCTTGTATACTTTCATATACAATTTATTTTAGGTGGTCCTTAGGTTCCAAAATTTTTTAAAGAGGAAATATAATTAAACTTCTCGACTGGAATGTTTTTCTCGATTCAGGTTTCCCTAATGAATTTTATCCATTACCGTTATTGTTCATTGATTGTTCGTAATCGTTTCGTTTCAGAAATTTTCTTATCCAATTTTATTCCGATTCCTTTTAATTTATACTTTATTTATTCTTTTAACTTGACATGTTTCAGACACATTTAAAATTCCAGAAAAATTGCAAAAATTGCAAAAAAAAAAATTGAAAATTCCACAAAAATTGAAATTCCAGAGAAATTAAAAAAAATTCCAGAATAACATGAAGATTTCTAAAAGAAATTGAAAATTTCCAGAAAAATTATAAAAAATCCCAGACCATTGAAATAATTTCAGGAAAATTGAAAAACAGAAATATTTTTCAAAAATAGTCTACTGAGAATTTTTTAAATTTTTTTCCAATATAATTTAAGAAAAGCGACTTTTACCATTTTTCTATTTCCAAGATCTATCTAAATAAAAGACGGTAGTCTCCATGTATAATTTTTGGTCATACTATAAATACGCTACACTATAAAAACGCTACACTAAAAAAACGCTACACTAAAAAAACGCTACATAGGTTTTTTTTCCCTAAATAATTGACAAAAATTATGTTCCAGATTCCGGTATCCCCTTGGACTTAAGAATATTACCGTTAATTAAGCTAACTCCGCCGTCTAGAGTAGATAAAGTATGCCCGTATTTAGAATTTCTTCCATTCCTATACAAGTTATAAGCTGAATAAACATTTGTTTTTATTAATTTAATTTAATTAATTAATTTAATAATTCAACTCTCGTTCATTGCCATTACTTTTTTATTCTAGAAGAGGTAAAAGAAATTCTCGAAAAATCAAAATGTTCCAGAAAAAATGGAAATTCCAGAAAATTGCAAAAATTGCAGAAAAATTCAAAACTCCCTAAAAATTGACATTTCACAAAAATTTAAAAACTTCAGAAAAATTGAAAAGTTCCTGAAAAATTTAAAAATTCCAGAAAATTAGGAAAATTCCAAAAAAATAAAAAAATATTTGAAAATCAAAAACTCAACTTAAACTTACATTCTAGAAATGAGATGAAAAAAAGGACAAAGGTCCAGAAAATAATAATGTCTTGTAAAAGTTTCTGTTGTGCAAAAAAGTAGGAGTACAATTGTGATATATATATTAAAGCTCTTCGTTTATTTATATGTGTAATAGCTCTGAGTTCTAGTTATACGCAGCTCCCCCCTATATATGCCCTTGCCCTTAAATTTAAAAACCTTGTCAAATTAACTCCATCTTGTTTTAAGGTCCTATGGTGATGTTATACCCTCTCCTGTAAGCGGAAAAGAGCTGTTTACTATAGTTGAACCTCTGGGAGTAGCTGCACTTATTTGTCCATGGAATTTTCCCATTGGAATGCCTGCAAGAAAGGTATCTTCATTATAATTTCTCTCCACCCAAAAGTCGTCAAATTAGTATAAAAATATGTCAGATTATTATACATAAACTTAGAAACTTAGATGATCCCTTTACATTTAAAAGAAAAATAATGTCTTAGTTTCGCCTCTACTCGTTTTTAGCAGTGATATAAGGAAAAGAATAAAGCGTTGCATAAGCACTTTTATAACTCTGCATGGATAGTGTCTCCTGTCTAATGCTTTACTTGCAATAGAAGCAGAGTAAGCGGTTGTATTAAAATAAACTAAATACCAATTATACTTTTGTTAAAAAAACAGAAACTTATCTCTTAAGAAGATATCTTTTAAGGTATCAGCTGCACTAGCTGCTGGCTGCACTTGTGTTATTAAACCTGCAGAAGATACTCCTCTCTCTACTATAGAACTTGTTAAGATCATACAGAAGGTGATTTCAGAGAAGATTCAACAAGATTTTTCCACCTACAGTACACAATTTTAATTGACAAACTGCCAAGTTTGCTCCTTTAGACTGAAAATTTACTGTTTGTGGAACGTAAAACCTTACTTTGGATTAATCTGATCTCAGTGCACACTTGTCAGTTTATATGTTTGCTCGTAAATGATTAATATGCATGTCTTATCATATATTGTAGGCCGGTATTCCACAAGGGGTTGTTAATGTTATTACCTGTAGTCGGGATAATGTTCAAAACATTGGAACAGAACTGTGCACCAATCCTAAGGTAAGGAAGGTGAATGGTAATTCTTGGTTATTGGAATTGCCGAGCATTTAATTACAGTTTAAATCTGTGTGATGAATTTACATAACATTAGGTCACCCTATGTTTTCAGCTAATAACTTTTTTACGAAAGGGAGACAGTTTACATCCAACTTTTTTGTATCATCAATAAAGATGATACACCATAGACTGGCAACATTCCATTAACGAAAAAGCAAGTTTTTGAAAATTAACATAAGATTCTGTTAACCAACAACAAAAACCGCTGATTTCGAAATCGTTTTTATCTATTCCCAAAATAATAATAATGGCTGAACCAAACTTTTGAAGTTAAAGTTAAAAGTGATGATGTATCTTCCATTATAGCCTCATATTAAATAAGTGAACATTCCTATAATTAAGGTGTCGATAGTATCATTTACTGGTTCCTGTGAGGTGGGAAGAACCCTATATTCCTTGTGTGGAAAATCTTTGAAAAGAGTTGCTTTGGAGCTTGGGGGTAATGCTCCATTTATCATTTTCAGGTATAACACACCCTCAGCTCAGCTTTCGGTGTCTTCTGCAGTGATATGCAGTACTTTGACCAAAGAAATAGTAGGATTCAGTACTCTGGCCAAAGAAATAGTAGGATTCAGTACTCTGGCCAAAGAAATAGTAGGATTAAGTACTCTGGCCAAAGAAATAGTAGGATTAAGTACTTTGACCAAAGAAATAGTAGGATTGAGTGGATCAAGAGTGAACAAATTGGAATCTCTTTTAATTCAAAGCTAGAGGTCACAATCTTTGGAGACGTCAACCCCCCGCCCCCTCAAAAAAATGAGCTTATGGAGTCAAGTTCAAGGTTTATAGGGCCAGTTCAATTATGTAAAAGTTAAAGTAGGAAAGATTTAAATTTTTAACCTTAATTCTTAAATCTTTATTTGTGTATCTCTCTGATGGATGAAACATATGTCTTGCACTATTTTAGTTCAATAATTGTCTAGTTCTGCAAATCTGCAATCAGCTGTGAATGGTTTGATGGGGGCCAAATTCCGAAATGCCGGTCAAACCTGCGTGACCGCAAATAGAATTCTAATCCAAGAAGATGTTTATGACGAGGTCTTGAAGATGTTTACGGAGCAAGTTAAAAAACTGAAGGTAGTTAAAAACAACATTGTATTGTAAAATATAAAAGTATGAATGCAAATGTATACAAAGGTTGCTTGAAGAAACTGAGTCTTTGCCACAAACTATACATTTTATAATCCCTGTATATTTGCAACCTGATGGTGTAACCCTTTCATAGTTAAACTGAGATTATTTTATCAAACACATAATTCATAGTTTGAAATATCTAAGATCTACGACGTTGGACTGCAAAGAAACAGGAATTAAAAAATTAGAGTTTGTGACAAAGACTCAATCCCTTTCCAAACTGTAGTTTTTCGTGTTTCAATAACCAGTGGATAGAATATTTTTTGTTTATATTGCATGCATGCTTTACAAAATAGACTAAAAATAGACTAAAAATCAATAATTTTTGCTATGCACTATATTTTGAAAAGCTTCAAAATCGTCAAATCTTTAAGTTATTCATATTTCTTTTTTAAAAAGCTGTCCCTCAACTATTTTTTGGGAGATTGGATACCATTATATTCATAATCAACCTGGCAATCGTATTTATGCTTCGGGGACAATGAAGAATATTGTAAGATGTCGATGCGTTTCAACTCTAAGATAAAGATCTAATTGGGGAAGGATCATTTGAAATTACGTGTCTAGTCCCTTTAATATTAATATGTTCAGGTTGGCAATGGTATCGATGCTGAATTCCAACAAGGACCATTGATAAACAACAAACAAAAAGTACACTTAAAATTACATACAATGAGAGCCAGAAAACTTTTGAATAGGAAGAAGACTTAAAGTCAAGTTATGATTTTAAATAACTAAATGAACAAGAGACACAGACTTTTCATTTAATCAGTAATTTCTAATATACTACAGTGATAATTAGCAAACTCTGAAATAGAAGATGACTTTTAAACTTAAGTTAGGACTTAAACTAGTTCCATGAACATTAGACATATCAATTGTACGGTGTAAATAGACCCTTAATTTCACTTAAATAGTGATTTGCGAGCTTACTAGTAAAAATATTTCCATTGTAACAACATCAAAACGCTTCAGTATAGGTTTAATGTCCTCTTTCTATTCCATCGTTATCACTGTATACCAAACAATTTGTGCTGTGAAAACATTTATTACTGTTTAATACTGCTTTAATGTCGTCTTTCTATTCCATTGTTATCACTGTATACCAAACAATTTGTGTTGTGACAACATTTATTACTGTTTAATACTGCTTTAATGTCGTCTTCCTATGCCAAAAAATTGTCTGCTTCGCAATGAACTGGAAAATTTTCCGATGCACAGTACAGTAAGACTCGTACACCTGTGGAATACAAAGACGACTTTAAGAATTTAAGATATAATTATAAAAAATCCAATGGGCATAAATCACAGAAACTATACGGTCGTCGGTGTTACACACTATACACATTACAAAAAATAGATGTAATAGATTATACATTTTATTATGTATTATAATGATATTAAAAATTCACAATTTTAAAAACAGTTTGTTGCACAACCATTGTTAAGCTTTCCTCGCATACTGTTCATGGGACTGTAAGCGTACTTTTAAGTTACACTCCCTGCAAATAACAGCTGGCAATGTCCGATTTACAACGGTACCCTATATACCTTAATCTGATCAAAAATATGGAAGAACCGTCGATTTTAACTGAACAAGTGTCTAATTCTGGTAATTTTTCTATTGGTTCTTATAAGCAAGAAATGCGCAAGTCACTTTCGAAGAGAACCCGCAAAAAAATAAAGAAACTAAAACTGGAATATCTAATTCATACTTGATTAGACAACACTTTTAAGGTTACCGTCGTATATTGAGCAATCAGCATTCATTGTCATCTTTGAATAGAGGATCACTTAAAATTAGGCAAACAGTCCCTTTAAAAATTAATTCAAAATTTAAACATGGGTTAGACTTTTCTAAGCAGAGCAGGCTTGTTTTCGAACGTTTTTTTTTTAATATGAAACCCGTTTTCGTAGCTGCCCAAATACGTCACAGTTGCATATAAACAAGTTTTCTTTCTCCTTAGTTTAATTCTCCTGATATAGGAGAGGGTTGCAAGGATTGTAGCAGAAAGCGTAGCTAAAGGTGCAACTGTGGTTTGTGGAGGGAAACAGGAGGGTAATGGATTTGAACCAACCATTCTCACAGGTGACACATTTTACAACCCCCACAGGAGACACATTTTTACTATTCTTACAGGTGACACATTTTACCATTCTCATAGGTGACACATTTTACCATTCTCATAGGTGACTTATTTTACTATTCTCATAGGTGACACATTTTACCATTCTCACAGGTGACGCATTTTTACTATTCTCATAGGTGACTTATTTTACTATTCTCACAGGTGACGCATTTTACCATTCTCACAGGTGACACATTTTTACTATTCTCACAGGTGACTTATTTTACTATTCTCACAGGTGACACATTTTTACTATTCTCACAGGTGACTTATTTTACTATTCTCACAGGTGACTTATTTTACTATTCTCACAGGTGACTTATTTTACTATTCTCACAGGTGACTTATTTTACTATTCTCACATGTGACTTATTTTACTATTCTCATAGGTGACTTATTTTACTATTCTCATAGGTGACTTATTTTACTATTCTCACAGGTGACTTATTAAAACCATTCTCACTGGTGACACATTTTACCATTCTCACAGGTGACACATTTTACCATTTTCACAGGTGACAGATTTTACCATTCTCATAGGTGACACATTTTACCATTCTCTTACTNGATTTTACCATTCTCACAGGTGACACATTTTACCATTCTCAAAGGTGACACATTTTACCATTACATCTATTTTATATAACTACTGATAACACTTTCTTCTTAAAAGATAACGTAAAAATCGTTCAAATATGCAGTAGAAGAGATTAGCTGTTTTAAGAATTTTATTTCATTCTTAAAAAAGGGACAAATTGGTTTTGGTGAATTCTAAACAATTTAATTTCATGTTTTTACAATAATTGTTTTTAGACTTAACTGTGGATATGCCGTGCTGGAAGGAGGAGATATTTGGCCCCGTAGCCTCAATACTCAAGTTTAAAGGGACTGTATACGTAGTATCACAATTCGTGCCCTTTAAAGATTTGTCTGTTCTGTCTAGAAAGAATGAGATTTTTTTTAAATAGTTTATTATGTTACAGACAATGGAGGAAATTTCGCAAGAGTAAAACCTCGTTAGACTAGAAAAAGTACGATATTTTACTTTTTGATGTTCACATATCCGTTAAAAGGCTACCGTTGTGAATGGACCATGCCACTCTATAAATGGAAGGCACTTGTAATCACTACAATATGTTTAAAAGACGAGGCCGAGGCTGTGAATATTGCAAATAACACTGACAGAGGACTTGCTGCATATTTTTACTCTAGGTAAGAATTTTACCATCATAACAACTTACAACATACAGAATAAAAGTCGTCTTTATTGAATATTTAATTTTTTTGAAATGATTCTCTTCCGATGCCGAAGATCCAACTAGAAATGTACATGTAATTGTTTTTAGTAACTAAGGCAAACATCGAACAAAAATAATAGCTGTCGAATATAAACGAAACATCCGGTGTCTAAAAGGTAGCAAAAAAAGCGTATTTATTTATCTTCAATTATTTAAACTGGAATAAGACTAATGCCCTATTTGCACTTAATTTTCATGCTTTTTGAGAAACCCTGTCTGTTAAGTGATTACCAGCAGATATCCCGTGTATCCCGGAGTCTTGAAGCTGGTATGATCGGAGAAAATGATGTAGCAATATCAACCACTGAGGTTAGTACCCTATATAGGATGGTACGATGGGAGGGACCCTATCAATGTGTGGGGGGGGGCACGGCCATATAAAAATACTTTAATTTAATCTCACTTTTGCCCTTAACTAAAATATTTTTCAACCCCATAAAGGCGGGGGGGGGCGGTCTGAATCTATGTATATACTAAAAAAGGCCTTATAGAATAGGTATAGTGTTGGTATAGTTCATAGCCCAATTTTTCAAGACCAGCTCATAGAAAAAAAATTAGACCGATAATAGTTTGGGTGCTATGGAGGATTGAAAAAAATACCTAAAAAGGGTCAAAATAGGGCTTTTTTAAAATAAAGTTTTAGATGTGTAGCTTTAGATTTTTTTTTCACAGACCAAACTTTTTTCCGCCCTGTACCCTACCCTTTAAATTAAAAAAAAAATTCTAACAAAAAATCCTTTAAATTACTATACATTAAAAGTTAATAAATTTCACGGTGATAGAGTCAAACATGAGACTGGTAGGACAAAAAAAATGTTTATGGTTAAGAAACGTTTCCATCTCAATTTTTCACCCATTGAAGCTTACAACACAGTATTAAGAGGAAGTGTCTGATGAGTCCACTTAAGGAAATCACATAAATAATTTATTTACCTTATTATATGGAAGTGTGTATATGATCGAATAGTTTACATACAGTGAAACCCTTAATAACGAATACATCGGAAGAATTTATCAAATGTCGTCTTGACAATTTTTCAGTGAGTTTTATACTATATTACGTAAATTTCAGTATTTGCGAAAATAAATAAATAGCCATGAATATACGGGAACAGTTTTAAAGAGTTCCATATATAATCATTTAATTAAAAAACTAAATATCTGCAACATTCCATTACCAGAAAGTGAAGAATACGACATTTGATGAATTCTTTCGATGTATTCGTTATTAAGGGTTTCACTGTAGTTAAAAAAGGTATTACTATTTTTTCAAAAAAGGATTTTTTAAGTGGGGGCACAAAAAAGTGCCCCCCTCCCCCAATACACAAATGCTCTCGTAAGTCCCTGAACCCTATATAACTGTTTGACTTAAAGGAACTGTACTCGTAAACTTAAGTGACCATCCATGCAAAGATGACAATGTCTGACTCATGGGTACCCTTGAAAACTTTATCTGAAAGATATTGTTGTTTTCCAAGTTTTAAAATTGTATTTTTTTGACAATTCCTTTATCAGACATGCCATTTATAAGAAAGGCCAATTTTTTATTCCGACTTTAGTCCCTTTAAGATTAAATTTTCTAATATTTCAGGCCCCATTCGGTGGTTATAAGAGTTCCGGGATCGGCAAAGAAGGATCAAAATATGGTTTAGATGAATACTCAAACAGAAAACTCATATGTAAAGGGGGCCTGTAAAAGCTGCCGAAGAAGCCCTTTGCTTTAAATATACAGTTTCAAAAGGGGTCATTTTAAAAACAGTAAGAGAAACTCTATGTTTTAAATAGATAATTTTTGTAGGGGTGAGTTTTAAATAAAAAGAAATAAACTATATACATACGTTTTTTTTTAAATTTTAACCTTTTTTCATATCAATACAGATTATAAATCAAGAGGAAATTTAAGATATTTTGAAGAAAAAATTAAAACAAAAAGCAAAGTTTGAACTCGACAAAAAAAATTCGAAATGAATAGGAAAACGACAATCAACATTTAACGGTATGGTATTTCTTCAATGTTTTGATGTTGTTTTGAATCAAATTGTTTTACCAGAGCTTCAGCTCGGGTCGTAATTACTTAAAGGGACCGACCGGCTATGTAAGGCAGTCGAACTGGGCATGCAGTATTGTGGACAAATTCGTTAGGATTCATTTGATACATAAAAACTTTTTAAAGATCTGTAAATCCTGAGTTTGAGCGCAAAGTCGACGTTCAAAATCGTACTTTTGTGTGGATACATTTTCAGAATTGTTTTTTAAACTATTAAATAACGACGACAAAACATCCTAACATTGATTTATTGACAAACTTCTTTTGAGAAATATGTTCCTTAACATTAAATTAGTTTACTGTATAATTTCTGCTTATTTTTCGTCGTCGTTATTTAATAATTAAAAAAAACCGATTCTGAAAACGAACCCACCCAAATTAATGATTTTGAACGTCGAATGCACTCAAACTCATTAATGATACATCGTGGAAATGTTTTACATGTCTCAAATGAATCCTAACGATTTTGCCTACAACACTCAACTTTGACGACAGCACTTGTTTCACGTGATTGACAGCCTCGAGATCTTAGGATCGACTGAAGGAATTATGCCTTATGAAAATAAAACCGACCTTGGTTGGTTATTGTGGAGAATAAGGCTCAATGTTGAGTCTTGTTCTCATCAAACCCCGGAATATGCCAATTCGAACCACGAAAATCCACCAAATACAATATTAAACCGGTTTTTTGAGTTCACCTTTGTGGAAAATTAGATGCAATTTAAATCCGAAAGCTCACTTTATAAATAATGTCCAGTCTTACAATCATCCTATTCCATAGTTTCGGGTCCTCCTATCTGTAAACCAAATAGAAAATACTGTCTATAAATAACTTTTGAATGCAACTTATAACAAAATGATTTGAATACATTTTTTTTTTTATCTACTTATATTTTTATTTGAACTACGGCCATTTTAAAATATTAAAGTATGAATAATCATCTTTCTCTCCTTCACTTCTCTTATGCTCGTCTTCTAGTCGAGTAAACAAGGCCTAAAAATATAAAATGTATTTTACGCTAAGCAACATAATTTGGAAAGTTATACTATTCCGGATACGTATATAGTAAATACACGCCATTTCACGGTAATCCAGAGATTGAAATCATGCATTTCACGCTGATCCAAACACAAGAATTAAATAGTTCATGATAACTTAGACATTAAAAAACAAATATGCCACGCTGATCAAGATTTTAAAAATAATTAGCCCTTGCTAATCAGACATTTAAAACTTATATGCCACACTAATCCAGGTGCTGGAAATATTTTGCCCGTGGAAATCCAGACATTGGAAACATTTATGCCACGCTGAATTAGACACTGGAAACTTACATTTCACGGTAATCCAGACACTGGAAACATGTATTTCACGATAGTTTTAATGTCCCCCAAACCTAGACATTGGATATATGTCATCCAGTCATCTCGCCACGCGCACTGATGGAAACATACGTCGGTAACTTATAAATTGCACACTAATTTAGACAAAGAATTTTCCAAATACATTTCACGGTAATCCAGACATTGAAATCATTTAGTTCACGCTGTCACAGGAGCGGGGGAAGGCAGGCAGTCATGAGCGACCACTATTTCCCCTTCCGTACCACATATTAGCTTTTTTCTCTTCCTACAGCCATAACCCACCACTGGGGTTCTGGGCCACCACATTTGACTCTTCCGGGTAAAATTACTTTTAAAATGGTATATTTATATTTATGGCCTTTAAAATGGATTTTTCAAAAATCCAGCCGCGTCACGCAAAAAAGTAAAACTCAAACCATTTTCCAATTCTAAATAAGATAAGTATATTTATATATAAAAAAGAGGTCGTTTGTTTTAGATTTCAGCAGGTAAACTAAGTAATTTTTCGTATTATGAGAAAAGAGAAAAATTTTACAGCGTATAGCCTGAAGAATAAGAAAATATTATGAAAATCACAATATTAACTGTCATTAATTACGCATTACAAATAAAAAAAAAAAACACGTTTTTTTTAGCAATTTCGTTTAACACATTGCACATTTTCACACAAGGGTACCCTTCAAAACTAAAGTGTATTTTATGGTGCGTCATTTTTAATATTCTAAAACTCTCAAAAATAATCCACTTTTTATGAAAATCAGATTTTAGATTTGAAAAAAAGTTTTGCAGTTCACATTAAGAGGAATCATTCTTTTTTCATATTAACACTTAAAAATAAAGATTTAAATAAATATTTTTTGCGTGACGCGGCTGGATTTTTGAAAATCACACTTTAAAGGCCCTTAATATACCACTTAAAAAAGTAGTTTTGCCCGGAAGAGTCAAATGTGGTGGCCCGGAAAGGGAAATAGTGGTGCAGCTCAAGCTGCCCTCCTGCTTTTCACAGACACTGGAAGTGTTCAGTTCAGGGTGATCTAGACACTGAAAACATTTATATCACGCTGATCCATACACTTAAAACATGTATGTTATGCTTATCCTAAATATGAACACATAAAGTTCACACTAATTTAGACTTTGGAAACTTTTATGCCACGGTGATCCAGACATTGAAAACTTTCATGTCACGGTGATCTAGACATTAGAAAAATTTTGATTGTTTACCTGATATAAATAGAGGCCTAGTGCTGCTAGGAATATACANTCAGATCAAGGTCAACATCAGGTCAAGGTCAACGTCAGTTCAAAGTCAACGTCAGATCAAGGTCAACATCAGTTCGAGATCAACGTCAGGTTATGGTCTACGTCAGGTCAAGGTCAACCTCAGATCAAGGTCAACGTCAGTTCAAGGTTAATGTCAGGTCAATGACAACGTCAGGTCAATGTCAACTACAGGTCAATGTCAACTACAGGTCAATGTCAACTACAGGTCAATGTCAACTACAGGTCAATGTCAACATTAGGTCAAGGTAAACGCCAGGTCAAGTTCAACGCCAGGTCAAGTTCAACGTCAGATCAAGTTCAACGTCAGATCAAGTTCAACGTCAGGTCAAGTTCAACGTCAGGTCAAGTTCAACGTCAGGTCAAGTTCAACGTCAGGTTAGGTTCAAAGGCAGGTCAATGTCATAGTGTAAATTTTCTAAATGGAAAGTAGGTGCTTTCGCTGTGATTAACCCGGCCCTGTATAACTAAATATGATATTAATGAATAATCCAGTTTGCGGAATTTATAACATTTTTTAAAGCTAGAAACAGTGGGACCCATTAGACTGTAGGTATTTAAGCTCAACCTTATATGTATTTGGTGTTGTCATAATTAGAAAATAGTTTTAGGTAGGATAGCTTAAAAATTAACTTATGCACTGGTTTTTTGTACAATTCACAATTGTCATGTTTCATATTAATTGGGCGAATTAAAATCATAACTTAAATTTAACAGTTGTTTTCATATCTCTGTATCATGTTTTCTGCGTCTTACTGTATCACACCTGAGAATTAGAGCCTGGTTTATCTTGATACCAGGGTTTCCTTTTCTAATTATATCAGCTCCAGCCTGCAAGGAAACCCTGTTCCTCCTGAACAAAAAAACATTTTCTCACACCCTGGATTGAATTCAGGGTGTTTGGTTTCCCCGAAAAAAAGTATGAAAGAGAGCGAAAAATTTATTTTCAAAAGGTCAAGTTGTGATCACATTCATAGCTTGATGGGCCAAGGACCAAATTGTTAAATTGTAAATATTGTTAAAATCATCAACATTAATGTTTTCAAGATAGACTGAATAGTGAACAGGGTTTAAAACGAAATGAAAAAATCGTTTCACACAATTACGCATTTTGCTTTCAAAAAACGCGTAAATTTTCGCATTTTGCTTGAGTAAATTTGCGCATTGTGGCCTGAAAGTTTGCTTCATCCTAATAGTAAAAACAGTTCCGTGAACGAGCCAACATTTTAAAAATAGGCCTGTCCTCAAAGAGAATAGATTAATATAGAGAGGAATTAACTCGAAAAAGGTTAAAAACCGCCATTTTGCAGGTGTACTTCACACATTTGTGCTATGTAACCTTTTGGGCCCTGGAACATCTTTTCATAGATTTTTAAGTTTTTTTGTTTAATCTACCCTTTCTCCGGTAATAAAATAATGTATAATGTGATGTGATGTGTATAATTTGAAAACATTTACATGAATTGTACACTTTGAACTCCTTGGGACTGACAAAATTTATACCGAGGGATTGTTTAAATTCCTTTCAATTCAAATCTCTGTTCTGTGCCTGTCCCTTAAACCTTATCATAAAAAACTACAAACGTGCCTGTCCATATTCCTAATAATAGAAGAGATCATCTAAATTGGTCTATTCTTATTTCAACTAAATAGCGCAGACAAACAAAGCATACCCTCCATTGTTTCGACCCCTGCCGCCCTTTCTTTTCCCCTTCTCCCTTTCATAAATAATTATCTGGAAAACTTCCCTTATTCTTATTCACAACATTTCTATCCTTTATTTTATTCTTTAGATATCCTGTAAAGTAAATTTCAACGTAATTTAAATTTGTTAAAAAGCAGGCGGGGATGGGAGGGGACGTGAATGACCCTAATGCAAATAGANCCCCCCCCGATCCCAACTACCCTCTTTTCTTATTTCTGTACAGCCTTTCTTTTCCCTTCCCTTCTTAGCTTTCCTAATTCCTTCTTATTTCTCTGCTTATTTATTATCTAGAAGCACAAACTCAAAATAAGCCCATGAGTGACATACAGACAGAGGGTCAGGGGGGGGCTATGGGGGCTTAGCACCCCCCTGGATCAGTAAAATCTATGGTTTCAAGGTTTTCAGGGCTAAACAGACCCCCGTGGAAAGAAAAAAAATTAAAGCCCCCCCCCCGGGAAAAATTCCTGAGTACGCCTCTAAGACAATGTGTCCTAATTTACATACTAGAATTTACAGACGTGACGCTTTGAAGATTTTCTCTGATTTTTTACTTTTAATAAAAGACAAAGTTGAAACTGCGTCTTAATTTTGTGTCAAAACTTAATTTAGCTTTTTTGACAGCTTACAAATTNACCCTGTACTTTGAAGAAATAATCTTGCCCTTAAAGTTGAGAAAATTTCAAAACGCACATCAGAATTTTTTTCCTTTTTATTTTATTTTTGACAAATATCTACATCTATGTATGTATATATATAAAGTAGTGATCCCTGTTTGTTAGTTCGTATTGCCGATTTCCCTAAAATTTGAATCGGGGAACACAGTAGATCCACGAGAATGTTCTTAGTTTGGTTTAATAAAATACTAAATTAAGTTGGGTAACTTTTAGTTTTAAGATAAGGCTGGTGTGATATATATTTTACATCTATTATTAAAGAGAGACCGACCATCCTACCCTAATTATTAAAAAAAATAAAGATAAGGATAAAAATAAAAGTTTAATATATTTGTCAGCTTAATGAAGAGGCAAACATATTTGACTTAATTTTGGAAACCCCAAGACCATAAATTTTCGATGCTAATGAAATACTTGTTTTTATAAATTAAAAAGTTGACCTGCTAAGAATGGCAGCTGCTATAGCTGGTGGGTCACCTCCCTCTCCGCAAACCAGTATTCTACCTGCACCCTGTCCATATTTATCCAATGCTTGCGCAACCTCACATATCTCATTCCCAGATTTTATCTAAAACATGCTTTCATGCATTTATTTTGACATTTATTTGTTATTCTATTTTGTTTCATTTGTGTATCCTTTATTTAATTATTTGTTGTTTTTTTATTAATTCACTATGGGATCAGATTCTAAGTTTGTTCATTTATTCATTTTTATAATTTTTATAATATTTATGTTTTTGACTTTTGCAATAATCCTATAGATTACCTCAACAAGGTTTGAGGCTGAAGGTATTCTGCCCAACCTATTAGAGGCCGCAGAGACGAGAACGAGGTCAAACTTCGCCAGGTTTTCTAGGGTTAGACTGGAGCCAGAGATTACTAGCAAGCCTGGAGCAACTTCAATCATTTCTGAACCTAAAAGTATGGTATTTTTTTTAGAAAACAAATTATTGTGTAAACATGTTACTGTGAACTAAAATCAGGAATTTTGAAATATTAGCTGCAGCTAGGAAGATCTGACTTACAACTAGAGATTGTAGACGTAATTTCAAGTGTATATGATCAAAAATCAATGAATGGAAATGACGTTTGAATCCGCACTATTACTTACAAACATTTTGATTTTTGAAAAATTAAATGTAAAAAACAAGTGCTAAATCTTTGCAAATGTAATTTTTGTTTTTGTATGTTTTAATCAGACTTCAAGTAAACTTCTGTAAATCTAAATTGGTTTGTTCCCAAAATTTAAGAAATACTTGGCTTTATATGGTTCTTCCCGCCCCATTTCCTAGAACCAATTTTAGCTTTTAACTGTTGCTCTAATATTCGCCATTTTTCAAATTTTCGCAGATTTTTTTTGTAAAATGACGCACTTAACAATAAATATCTGCATATTTTTAATGGCAAAATTGTGCCTTTAACGGTCCTTGGGATAATGTGCAAGTTGCTGCATACAAACGTGGGCCTGGTCGTTCCTGCCGTTTTAAACGTTTATTTGATACAGACCGACAGACAAAAAAAAACAAATTTTAGAAATATGCATATAAATTTTTCTCACAAGGACAGCCAGGAAAGTGTTGACGTCATCTCTTTATTTACATTGCCCTTGGGTTGAAATCTTTCGGTCAAATTTAACCTTTTCAATGCATGCATGGGCCCTAGTTGTCAGGTATTCAGACACCTGTTTACTCGGAGGCAAAGTTTTACAATTTTCTAGTGATAATTCTTGAAAGAGAAATATTTTAAAGTTATTTTTAATTAGGCATAGATATTTTCCAAGACAAGCTGTAAATAAATACCACGTTTAAAAATTCTTTTCCCGCCCATTGGCCTGCAGTATTGTTTGTTAAACGGTCGTTTTTAGAATTTCAACATTTTTTCTTGTCAACGTCTATATCTTGCTTTTTTCCCGAGATTTTTTAGATAAACTAATAAGTTATCAAATTTTGGAAAAAAAATGTTACCCCATATTTTTACTCGCAAGTTCAAGATCATAAAGTTAAAAAGTTCCTTGTTTCGAAATAAATAAATAGAAAATAAGTTGCGTAATAAAACATTTTATTCCATTTTGAGATTATTGTTATTCTGCATTTTTACGCTCCCTCAAAGCAAACAATTGTTAGGGACTCAGCACATTAAAGTGAGGATGTGTTCCATATAAGTGTTTTTTTTGCAAAGTACCAAATTACATACTGCGCATGAAAAAAAAACGTCCTGAAATTTTCTAGTATACCATTTAAGGAAATTTAAGGAATAGCCAGTCATGGTTGAACCATAACAAAACCATTAAACCCATTTTGCTTATTAAAAAAAATAGACAATAGACAATGAATATTTACCTGAATTTTTCAGACGAACTTTGATTTCAACTTTTTCCCTGGGATTTTGAGGATCCTTTAAAAACTGCTGAATTTGTTCCATTTTATCAGCCTGCCTACTTCTAGGCCCTCCCTGCTCATATCGCTGTTTATCTTTAAATTGAGTCCCAATGCTGTTGTGTGTTGCTGTTATAAAAACATCAAAATCTATACAAAAAAGGAGACATGCTAAAAGATGTTGAATGAACTTGTAATTTATTTTTCCAGTATCAGTAAATAAAGTGGGAATTAAAAAGGGAATGTAAATATTTGAACGTGACGAAAGAAAAGTGCATTTCGGCTATAAAATAAGACAGCATTTGAACTGCCCTGAATTTGTAACATTTCTGTCGTGCTTGAGTTGTGAGTTGACAGAATCTTTCTGTACCTGGGAACATCTTCCCACATTTTCTTCAATTATTTTTCCCGCATTTTGCCCGGATTTTGAAGAATTTTGTAATTTTGTGTCATGACTATTTTTAGGATGTTTACTTTCTGCGGATTTTTCTTGTTCATGCACTTTTGTAAATGATGCAAGATTGGTCTGGATAAATTTGCCGTCAACCTTTTTATGTGAATTATTTCCAGATGCCTCAGGAGAAACTGATCTTTGTTCATTTATATTTTTTGAACCCCCAGCTTCGAGTTTCTTTTTTGATAAGAATTCCTCTTTAATTGTCTTTTTAACAATATTCTCAATAATTTCCACTTCTTTTTTCATTGCTTTAAGATCTTTTTTGAGAGCTTCATTAGTTAACTCCTCTTTTTCAAGATGTTCCTTCAGTTGCTCAACCGTCAGATCTGCAATGTTTTCTACAAAGTCTGGAATTGCCACAACAGGTTTTAAGATTGGTTCTATATCTTCATTTCCCTTCTTTTTTTCTGCTTTAAACTGCACCTCTGGGCTTGCATTCATTTCAGTAACATTTATAGTTGGTGGCATTGCGTGGTTCAAGCTAGATTTAGTGGCTTCTGCGTGATTATCAGATTTACCTACTTGGTTTGTAATTTCTACCTTCAGACTCTCCCCTACCTCCATTTGTTTAACCTCATCATTCTGGTTTGTTAACATTGATTTGATGTTTTCAGATTTAAGTACATTGTTCTTCTTCTTTTCATTCATTTTATCCTTTTCCTGTTTTGAACGCGGAGGTGATTCTTGTCCTGATGCAGACTGGAGAATAGTTTTATCTTCAATTTTAACTTCTTGAAATTCAAGCTCAGAACTTCTCTGTAGGCTGACATCTCTACAAGCTAATATGTCATGCTTTTGTTCAGAATGAGTAGGCAACTCAGACAGGTGTCCATCATCGTTTAGGTCAGCGGGTATTGGACTGACACTCATCCTTGAGTTGGATCTTGATCTTGATCTTCGACTTGTAAGCACTTCAGTGATCACATGTCTTTCCTTTTCAGTTAGATTTTTATTTTCAAGATTAGTTAACTCATCAGCTAGCTCAATATCAGGCTCCACCCTTGATTCAGTTTCCATCAGAGATGTGTCCAAATCCTTCCGGGGTTGAATTTTCTTGCTTTGTCGTCTCTTGAATTTTAATTGGGTGTTTTTTTCATCTTGTTCTGGAAATCTGTCCTCAATGCTAATATTTTCAAGTTCATCATTTTCAAATTTGGATGTTTTTGGCTGGGGTTCATCACAGCTGTCTATTTTATGCTGACCCACGCGTTTTTGCTCATTTGCAGACATTAATGGTGTATTAGGCTTCAGGGCGCTTCTAATAACTGGAGGGGTAGGTGACTCAATTTGCATACTAGGAATCAATATTTCCTCAACACTTGCAGTTGAAGACAAACTCTCTTTTGTGGGAGGTAAAGTTTTTGCAGGAGGTTGCGATATGTTGGTATTTTCATCAGCACCTTTTGAAGCAGAGGAATTAGATTTTGTGATTTTCAAAGCAGGGAGAATGACGTTTGAAGGTTTTGCATCATTGGGAATAAATTGTTTGGCTTTAATATCAGACATGTTGTTTGGAGACTCTATGTGCTTTGGCTTAGATTGCTTAGGTTCAGCCACTTTACTTAAGGAAGGCTTGGGTTCAGAAGTCTTTGGCAAAGAAGCCATAGGTTCCAAAGTCTTGGCTGCTGATGTTTTTAATTCTGAAACCTTTGACCCAGTTGGTTTAGTTTCTGAAACCGTTGATACAAAAGGTTTAGCTTCAGCAGCCTTTGGTACAGTCATAGGTTCAGAAATCTTGGCTGCTGATATTTTAGGTTCAGAAATCTTTGGTACAGAATGTTTAGATTCCAATACCTTTGATGCATAAGGTTTAGGTTCAGAAATCTTTGGTAAAGAATTTTTGGTATCCAAAACCTTTGTAGCAGATGGCTTAGGTTCAGAAGTCTTTACTGAAAATGGTTCTGGTTTTATAGTCTTTGATAGTTCAGGATCATGTTTTGAAACCTTTGCGGGTGGAGGAGCAGTGTCGTCTGTAGGTAGGGGGGCAGATGGTTGTAAAGTCAATTCTGCTGATTTTCCAGGATTAGGGGCAGACCCTTTGATAAAGGTGTCATGGCTCACAACAAACAGGGCTGGAGATATATTCCTAAAAACAAGATTAATTATTTTCTGTTTTTTTTTTATATTTACAGTAAATCCCAGATATATGAATACATTATTAGACCTTATGTCCAATTAAATGATATATGATGGGATTGAAATGTTTATAAAAAACTTATTACTGAATATAATGGAGCGCTATTAAAGTATAGAGTTAATTGCTCTAGGGGAGCTGCTCAACTGCTGGTATAGATGAATCTTAAACCCAGAGCTGTCTGGAGCAGGACTGTTGAAGGCTGCTTCTGAAGGGGAGCTGCGAAAAGCTTCTTAAAATAGAATCTTGGATTGGATAGCTTTTCAGCTGTTCAATGTAGGATCCTACATGGAAGGTGCCTTGGTCTGAAATATGATGTTTTTATCTAGATTTTAGAATATCAATAAAATCCCCTTTTTTGTTGGTACAGAGGTGATTTGGAACTTCGGAGCTGAGCAATGGTAGGCTTCCACTGCTTCTATCAGCTTTTCAAGATTCCAAAAATAGCTTTTAGGCGTGGTTATAACCTTGAGCCTACATGTAAAAAATGCGCACACTGCAGTGTACACAAGGTGTTCACAAAAAATACAAACATATAAATACATTTTAACAATTTTATCATAAAAGCACAAATATCAATTTTAAAGAGTCTTTTGCAATCGTTTGTGATTTTTACAAAAAAGAAGTTTTAGTTTATGTAAACATGTGGTAGAGTTTCCATATACATGGATTATTGATTCCAACAACGTTCTAACATTCTTTATTTACGTACTTTAAACTCCCTTACATTACAACATAGCAAGAGTTTTTTATAATGTTGTATTCTCAACATATTTAAGATCAAATGCCGCTGAAAAACGAGTTTGATATATCAGTTGCTGTCCTTCATATTTCAGGGTATTAATTTAACTTGAATTAAAAGTAAAAAGAAGTTTCTTTAGAATTTGGTATTTGGATATATTTTCACAAATCGTATTCAACCCTTTGAAACAACTCAGCAGCTTTCTTTTTGTACAGACCAATGATGAAGCATTACAACTGTCATAAATTTTTCAATAAATTTCGAGACGACATTTCACGCCCTCTTGCTATGTATTCTTATATTTGAGATTGGCTGTATTTACAAGGATTTCATGAAACAGCTAATATTTTCCCTCTCTCCATTCATTTAGATTAAATTAAAATACATTAAAAAGACGTGGTGTCTCTCTGGCCTGTACATTTTTATAATTTTTATTTTTCTTGACTGTAGTTGTACTTTAAATAAAACATTTTATTTGGGTTATAGATAGAAATAATATGCCATAGGTGTCAAATAAGCATTTTAAGTTTCTATATACATCTCAGAATTTTAAAAAGCTGCAAATGCTTGCTACTACTGCTAAAAACAATTTATTTTATTTTACATGAAGAGTCATTGAGACTATAAACAAAATGGGTACAAATGTACTAAAACTAGCAAAAAAGTTGTCGCAATAAAGAATTTCTTTTCGATATAAAGCATGCATGTAATATTAATGATATAACTTTTGGAAAAAGTTCTTAACTTCCTCTTTATTTAAAATCAAAATCCACTTTACAACAAAATCCTGTCAATGTATAAGGAGGACAGTTAATTTAAAAGAGCTTCTCATTATTGAAACATAGGTGAAATTACAAGGGGAAATTTTTTGAAACAAGATACCCATGTCTGGAGAAACACCACGTCTTAAACTTTTAAATACGCTGTCAACAGATTTTTTTATTTGCAATTATAATTTACCTGGGAGAGGAACTATATCGGGATAGCGACGCCATTGAGTTAGGAC